TTTTCCCAACGTATATTTGGATAGTTGAAGTCCCCCATCACCACCAAATCTTGGGCTTTGGATGATTTTGTTAGTTGTTTAAAAAAAGCCTCATCCAACTCTTCCACCTGGTTAGGTGGCCTGTAGTAGACTCCTAGCATGACATCATCCTTGTTTTTTACCCCTTTTAGCCTAACCCAGAGACTCTCAACACTTCCGTCTCCTATGTCCATCTCCACCTCCGTCCAAGTGTGTACATTTTTAATATATAAGGCAACACCTCCTCCCTTTTTCCCCTGTCTATCCTTCCTGAGCAAGCTGAACCCCTCCACACCAACATTCCAATCATGTGTATTATCCCACCAAGTTTCAGTGATGCCAACAATGTCATAGTTGTGTTTATTTATTAGCACTTCCAGTTCTTCCTGCTTATTACCCATACTTCTCGCATTTGTATATAGGCATCTAAGATACTGGTTTGATCTTGCCTCCCAGTTTTGTCCTGACCCTCCTTTCTCTCTGCCAATATAGCCCACACTCCCTCTTGTTTCCGACCCATCTCCCAGGTCTCCATGTTCCCCACTTACCTGTGGGCTTTGCTCACCTGTCCCCGTCGAACCTAGTTTAAAGCCCTCCTCACTAGGTTAGCCAGTCTGTGTCCAAATAGGGCCTTTCCCCTCCTCGAAAGGTGAACACCATCTCTGCCTAGCAGTCCTTCCTCGAATAGCATCCCATGGTTGAAAAGGATATTGGCTGACTTTGTAAATGCCTTTGAAATGTCTTTTGTACACAAATTCTCTAACTTAGCAATAGCTTTCTGTGGCAGTAACTTCACTTCTGCTTCACCTGGCCTATGAAATCTCGCTTGAGACTTAAACAAAAAAGGGTGGAAATACTAGTGATTTGGGTAGATTCATTGTGAAAGTGAATCCAGAAATTCCAACAGGTAGACAAATCTGTTATGCCATGAATAACGGATCAGGTTTTTTGCTAGGGATAGGCATAATGGGTGTTACATTGAGATGTGAGACCCCTATGGATTTTGTTTTGAGATCTGTTGAATACAGAGAAAATGGGAATCAGTGATATTCTGTTGCATTCGTATGCAGTTTGGGAGATCATTCATAATCTGGTTTAGTATAAGAGGAAAATTTTGTCAGATTTCTATCTCTAATTTTTTTAGACAGGTAGCATGGTCTAGTGCATTACAAGTGTGACTGGGAACTAGGAATTTCTGAATTCCAGTTTCATCTCTACCACTGATTTTGCAGTGTGGCTTTGGGCATGTTGATTAACTGTACCTCAGTTTCCCTATCTGTAAAAAGAGGATAATGCCTTCATAACAGAGATGTAACTCATGTTTTGTACAGTGCTTTGAAGATATAAAATGCTATGTAAGTTATAATTTTATTATTAAATACCTTGTCTGTATTTTTGAAGGGATATATTTTCTTATGACTTCATATTTACAAATGTATGTATGTTCTTTGTAGAATGAGAATTTTCCTGGAGGGGGAAGTCTTCATGAATTTCAATTTCCACCCATTAGTTTCTCCCTTGACCTTGTATTGTGTTGGCCTTCCTTCCCGCCTTCTCCAGAGCCAATCATGTCATTCCTGAACGAGCCAGAGGGCTTCCTGTGGAGGAGCACAGAAAAGTAATATATTTATTAATTATGAAATTGTGTATTTCTTTAGCCTGATGAGTATGATATGATTGTTCGAGAACTTGGGTTTGAGATGAAGGCACAACCCTCTGACAGGATGAAGACTGAGGAAGAGTTGGCGAAAGAGGAGCAAGAAAGACTACAGAAATTAGAGGTACCAGAGTGTTTCAGATTGTGTTGTAGCCCTCCGACTTGTAGTGACCTCTTAAGTTTTTTGACATTGCTTAACCTTAGTTTGAAAGCAGTCATACTAAAAATTGCAGGAGACGAATCTGAGAATAAGTTCCCTGTCCTATTCTAGTGGCACTATTTTCATCACTACACTGATTTTGTGATTTACCCTTTTTTTCATGGATTTTTAATTTGACCATTAAAAAATGTGCTGAATACTTGACTTGTGAGATTACATAGCAAGAGAACTTTTGCTATGTAATTTTGCTATGTAAGAATTTTTATTTTTCCCAGTTAAAAACAAGTAGCACGTTGGCTATGTTTTATATATCATTCAGACCTAAGATGTGCTTGAACTTTTATCAGATGAGCCTGTTTGGTGCACAGGAGCTGAATTAACATCTGGGCAAATCCTGCACTGCTTCCCTCCTGTAGCTGCAAAGGGTCCCCTGGCAATTGCGCTAACGTGATTCTGCTCTGTGAAGGGGTAGGATTTGCCTGGGAAGGTTTGTATGTTCCCTACACAATATGGAGCTCAGTGCTCCCTGTGCATCAGTGCACAAAGAATGGGTCTAGGTAGGGCCAAAAGCCTTCTGGTAAATTGATCTTCCCCACATAGAAGGGTCAAATTAGGACTGCAGGGCTACCTCAGCATCAAGCCTTCTATAGTGACCACAGAGGTGCACAGTAACTACTCATCAAAGTGCGGGGGAAGGATTTTTTTCCCCTTTTCCATGCTGTGCATCTCTCTAGTGCCTAGTCCAACTAATTGCTGGGCAAGAGCGGAATGCCCCACAATAAGTAATGACTCAGTTACAGCCTGATGAGTCAGTTGACAGATTCCCATAGAGTTAAAATTCTTTTCAAAGCCTTATATTTTGTTCAAACCCATTTTAAATATAGGAAATATACGTGCACATTGCAGAACCATAAAACTCTAAAGAAGCTACTACTTTCTGGTAAATAATACGTTTACCAAAATATGTATTTAAGATAATATATGTATATAAATAAATAATTCATTACCAAAGATACACAAGGCTTTTGATAAATGATATATTTCATATTTTCTAAATAAGATTTAAAATATATACAGTCAGACTAATTTACCAGTCCCACCCACCAAAACAAAGAAAATCAAGAGTTCAGGCTAATATGTTATCATGTCTCTGCTTTTTATTGTTCCTTCCTCCCCTCTGCTAGGTGAATAATGCTAGTTAATAATTTATTTTCTCTTTGATTTTCTTTTCTTAATTATCTGTATTTTCTCCAAAATTTTCGTACAAAGTAATTTAGGTCATTTGTACTATATTGTCCCTCTCCTGAATTTATTTTAAATCACAGGCTGACAGACTGCGTCGAATGCATGGAAAAGATGAACAGGAGAACAAAAAGAAACCCAAGCATATGTCAGCTGATGATTTAGCAGATGGCTTCATCCTGGATAAAGATGACAGACGTTTACTTTCTTATAAGGTAAGAATTTGATTGTTTTATAGTGACTTTCAAAGTCACTGAAATGAATTGAAAATCATTTCAAATTAAACAGAACTCTTTTCTGTTCACTTTATTATTTTTATCTAGGTGCTGCACTTTCCACCTGAACTTCATTCCCTGTATTAGGGCTGCTTTGGCCATGTTGGCAATGTAAAGCAGCCTAAAGCCATCATAGAGAACCACCCCAGTGTAGGGACATCACTTGGTGGTGTAATCAGCATTGTAGCTCCTACATCATCCACTTCTATGCAACCAGCATAAGGGCTATAGCTGTGGTTTCCCTCCACCCAGAAGGACCTGACTGGTACACAACAGTCCTAAACTGTGATATCATAAAAGTGACTTAAAGCAAACTTTATTCAATGCCTCCTCCTCCTGCCCCTGGATTGTGCTGTGTATCTCTTAGCTGCAGTGGAGGATCAGAGCTCTCATAAAGTCACCTTTGTCCTTCATATGGAGGGATCATTGTGTTTTGAATGCATTGGCTTAGCTGAATGATTATACTCTCTGAAAAATGACCCTGTAAAAACAGCATAGTGGGATTTCATGTTTGTCTTTCATTTTCTCAATGTCAGATATACTTGGTTAACAAGAAAAACAACGGCTCGGTTGCTGAAAATTGTACATGGCATCTGTGTACAACGCCCTCATGCATAATCACCAGTAATAAAGATCCTGTAACTAGGTATGGTGTATGAGGCAGACTATAAATAGACTCCTCTCCGAGGTCAGTATTAGTTCTACACTGCCAACAGGAATAAAAGGGAGTGAAACTTTATTCTGGGGGCAAAATTTTCCTTGTCTTACATCCTTTGTAATCTCATTGAGAACAGTTGAGTTACAAAATGTGCAAGTCAGAACAGAATTTGGCCCACCCTCAGCTCTTATTCAGGTCAAGTTTTTGGGGCTTCTGACATCTTGGGATCAAGCCCATATTAAGGGCCAAATCCTCCTTGTCCTGTTCGTACAAAAGTCCCATAGAAAGCACTTTTTAAATAGAGTTGAAGTCTTCTTTTTGTGGTGCAACTCTTCAGCTACACACTGCTTCTGGCTGCCCATCTTCCAACTTTTCCATCCCCAGCATTGCTTTTCTTGCATGTCACCTGACTGGCTGTCGCTCAACTGCTTCCAATCCACACCAGCTTTCTTCCTCTTGGTTTCTACTTCTCCATCTTCCCTCTACAACTGATACCCTGTCTTCTGTGTATTGTCCGAACCAAACTTTCATCTATAACCAACTGATCCACCTGATATACCACTGGATTTTAAATAAGATTCAATTTGTATCAAATTCAGAGATGAGGGTCATAATCTGATGTGTTTCTAGTAACACAAGTAAGGATATTATTTTAAATTATAATTTTAAACCTAGCAGTATTCTTGTAAGCTATTGTAGGTTTCTTTTCTCTATTAATAGGGTGGAAAACTCAATGTTGGAAATGAAGAGGAAGAAGGTGGGAATGAAGAAGAGGAGAGAGAGAGTGAAGAAGAAAGTGAGGGAGAGCCTGGTGGAGAAGATGAGGAAGAAGCAATTGTTGAGGAAGATGATGCTACAGATAGTCCCTCTGACCTGGAATCTGACATGGGGAGTGAGGAAGAGGTCACTGCAAATGAAGAACAGAAGGAGAAACACAAAGGAAATGAAAAGAAACTGCAAAGTGAGGAAGAACAAAATGCTAAAATAGAAGCTGCCAGATCTGAGCTTCCATACACATTTACTGGTAAGATTCCTATTGACTGAATAGGTAGAGGGGGGGTTTGTCTGTTTGTTGGAGCCCTATGTATCTGAGGCTCCACATCATAATTGCACTCCTTCTGGCCGACAAGTACTGGACATGACTCTTCAGTTCTTGAAAACGCGATTTGTTGTCAGCAAGCAGAATTTCTCTGAATAGCATGAGAAAATCCTTTTCTGTCCAGGAGCTGAGTAGGCTATTTCTACTGCCCCTTTCAGCCCTAGAAGTGAAAGACAAAAAGCCTTGATTGAAATCAAGTTTCATGTAAGATTGTGCCCAGTGTTGCCTTAAGACCAAACGTACAGCCTGCACAGAATAGTGTTGTCTTGCAGAAAAGAATGCACAATAATTTTCTAGTATGTATTGAAAACTAGGAACAGGTATGCATTGTGTCTGAAATAAAGTCAGCTTCTCTTAGAAGAAGCTCACAGAAGTGGTATGCTGCCCCTTCTTAACATATAGTCTCTGTAATAGAACACTGTGTGGCTTAGTAATCGCTTCTCTAGAATAGATCTGTGGTTGTGGAGAAAGAAACTATTCTGCATGCTGTACAGGATACTCATTCTTGTTAACTGAATATTTCACCAAACTAGTATACCAGTAGGGAATACGGAAGTACAGTCTTTAAACGAGCTATGCTGAAATTAGACAACCATTCAAACCACTTGCCAGAGTGTTTGCAGTTTCCATTTGATGGCAGGTGACACAATAACATACATTGAATAAAGTAGTTTAAATTGAATCCATCAAAGAACTCTAAGGGTATGTCTACACTACCGCGGTAGTTCGACGGCTGGCAATCGAACTTCCGGGTTCGATTTATCGCGTCTGGTCTGGACGCGATAATTCGAACCAGGAAGTGCTCGCCGTCGACTGCGGTACTCCACCTCAGCGAGAGGAGTACCGCGGAGTCGACGGGGGAGCCTGCCTGCCGCGTGTGGACCGCGGTAAATTCGAACTAAGGTATGTCGACTTCAGCTACGTTATTCACGTAGCTGAAGTTGCGTACCTTAGATCGAATTGGGGTGTTAGTGTAGACCAGGCCTAAGGAAATACAATGGTTAAGGTTTTATACAACACTTTGACTGGCACATGTGTATTTTTTTCCCATTAGTTGGTAGGCTCTTACATTTCTTATATGTTCCATACAGAATGCTAGGTTAGTGTGACTTTAAAATTACACAGTTAGTGCTACTATAAAAACACAAGCCAGAAAATATAGAATTATGAGTAAATGGACCCTGAGCTTTGGGGGGGGGGGTGTAATCCACTCTTTAACTATATGATTGCATACTATGTCTCAGATAACACAATGTTAATGTTTTTTATTAATGTTTAAAATATGTTAACTTAAAAATGTTTCCAGCAGTTTAATTGTTTTGTTCAGATTTGAAGAAGTTTAACATAGTAAAATATTTTCTAATTTATGTTTAAGTTCAACTGGGTATGCTTGATTTTTGTTTTTATTTTTATAATAGTTCCAGAATCCTATGAGAAACTTAAATCTTTACTGTTTGGAAGAATAATAGAAGAACAGCTAGTTATCCTAGAGAGGATTCAGAAGTGCAATCATCCAAGCCTTGCAGTGGGAAACAAAGCAAAGTTAGAAGTATGTTTGAGTTTTTAAATGAACTTTGAATGCTAAAGTGAGTTTGCTAAGTATTCAAGGAGCAGTTTGAAATATATTGGTTTTGTATTCACATTATTTGAAGAAAACTTTATCCAGAATGTACGTATGGGAGAACCCTAGGCAGTGTTCATTTGCCATGTTCTGTCTCATTATTTTTCTATGCTTTTAAAAATATCTATATTTAAGTACATATATATACACAAATATAAAGAAAAAAAACTGTAATGGTTTTAACATGATATGCTTATTGCAGAAACTGTTCGGCTTCCTTCTGGAGTACATTGGGGAATTAGCAACTGTGGAGCCACCAGAGCTCAGAACAATTGACAAATTGGTCCTGTAAGTAATAAAACATGTTGACTGTGGCCCCTTCGTGGTGGTTTGAAGGGAAAAGATAGTTGCATGGTAATAAAACACACAGTGCGTTACTTAATTTAAATTCTCCTACTAACATTGAAAGCTACTGGTTTTCTATTTACTTTATTGTGTTTTAACGTTGTTTCTTTTCGTACCTTTGTCATTAATTGTATTAAAAAGCTTTCAACATTCCAAAAGGAAATTAATAGAATTCTCAGTATGCATTAGACCTTCCATAGGTGTTAGAGCTATAGAAATATGTAATTACACACACACACAAACTATTGTAAAGGCAAGTTATTTAGATTACTAAGTCAAGCATTTGAAAGTTAGGCAATGCCAGATTTATGGTTGCCCATGCAACATTAATTTTGTCCTGTGTCCATCCTGTGCACTGAATGAGGCAGGGGACCAAGGGCAAAATGTGATCTGGTAATTAGAGACTGTATCGTAATGAATACGTGTAAATGTGGCATTACCTAACTTTTGAGTGGTTGACTTTTCAACCTGAATAATTTTCTTTCAACATAGAAGGGGGGTTTGTGTATGTAATTTCCTGGTGTGTAATTTCCTTTTATTTTATGTTTTAAGGAAAGAGTAAAAAATTTATCATATGCAACTGAAACAATCTCCCCATCATGCATCATAAACAGGATTTGAACCTTGAACTGTCAGCATTGCAGTGCAGACTTGAGATACAGGACTATCTGTGTTAGCTTGTAGCAGGAGAAGGTTGTTATCCCAGAGGGGAGGATGTACCTCTAACACCATGTGCATGTCCAGGCAGTGGTGTTGGAATCCTGGCCTGGTCTAGCACTCTTCTCCCTGAGAGACGGAGGGCTCCTGCCCGTAGAAGATAGAGATGGGAGGCTAGACCCATGTTCTCGGTCTCGGGTTTGTGGTCAGGGAAGGGGGAGCCTGGCTCTACTCTTCTCTTACCTCACCACTACAGTTGATCTGAGCACTCCCAGATGCTTCCTGTGCAGAATATATGTTGCTGGCATCACTTTGGGGGTGGCATGGGCTAGACCATTTAGAATGTTTAGTGTTGTTGTTTTGGCATGCTACAAATTTTTCCTGAGGCATGCCAGCAAGAGAGAGGAAATAGTGATTGTTAGCAGTTTACATCTCAGCTTAACCTGAATGGAATTTCATGGGACAAAAAAAGGACTTCTCTAGCCTGAGGACTTTGTCCCTACTCAGTTCCAAAACTCTGCTGCAAACAATGGAGGAGTTAAAGCTTTTTTGGGGGGAAAAATAAATCTTTTGTAATGGAAGATGTAAGGCAACCTAAATACAAGGGTTGCTACCACTGTCTCCTTATAACAATATGACCTTAAAATGCCACATCTGGGAAAACACGATTAGATGATGAAACTATGTCTCATTGCATATTGAGCAGAATCTAAGCATCAGAACATTCTGAACACACATTCCATTTACTTCAGTACCTAGTCACAATAACTCTAGTGGTCATGAAATTCAGAAAGAAGTCTTCAGATCATGCTACCTTAACATAGTTTTTGAGTACAATAGTATATTTATGCATTAGAAATTTATATTCATATTTAAAAAACCCACAAACCTATAAGTGAGGGTGTTATTTCACAAGCCCCAATGAAAACCAAAAGCATAACAGCCATATGTGTGCACCAGTTAATTATCTTCTGCAGAAATAATTTTATTCAAAGTATGTGTTTAACCTAGCACAAATAACATTTCAAAGGTGTTTAAAAATCATAGTTCTTTATTAATATAAATGGTGTAACTTCATGGTGACTTGTGTTTCTTGTTAATAGGCCGTTGTTCAGTCTTTGCCAGATGTTTCCTGAAGCTGCAAGTAACAGCGTTAAGTTTGTCCTCCAAGATGCTGCACATGACATGGAAGAAATGATTGAAGTCAAAGGCCGTGCAACATTTCCAGGGCTAGACATGGTAATTAACACATTTTTTTTTAGAAAAGTCTTTTGCCTTTTCCTTTAGTGTAAAATACCAGGGTGACATTAAATCTTGTTTTGCATTTCACAGCTTATAATTCAAAATATGACACATTGCAGCTTCTGTGGGTTTTCTATGCCCTGAATCGCCTGTCTTGGAATAAACTAATATTACAGAACAGAAGCATGGCAGCAAAAATATTAATTGAGGAGAAAACCCTGTTTGATTAACTGATTTTCAGGTTTTTTATTCAGTCTTAAAATAACTGAACATTGTTTTGCCTGAGACTTGAATGTAGGATTCTGTGTGTTTCCTGCAGCACTTGATAACATTGCTAAAATTACTGCCACCTAGAGCAAGGCAAGGTTGTCCTTTCTATCTTTGATCAAATGAAAAAAAAAATTTCTCAGTTAAATAAACTGTTTAAAATAAAAAGTCTCCACAGAGATTTAGTATCCTACAGTGCAAAAACTTTTCTGCATCATTAACAAACAGAACTGTGGATGTAATACAACATTTTTTTTTTTTAAGATGTAGATGTGATAGACAATAAATTAGGGACCTTGGAATGAAATTGTTGAGCGTCGCTCTTTATTAGTGCTTCACAGTTCTATTGGCTATCCTAAATCTATGAATAGACTCTTCTTCCAAACTATAGGCAATTGGCTATTTGAGAATTCAGGATGGGATTCATTTAAAATAGTCAGAGGGAAGCTCACCACTGAGGTCACATGCAGGGTGCTTGTCACTCAGTGTTCAATACCTCTGGGAAGGTCTGAGACAAGAGCCATTAGCTGCCCTTGCAGGGCATCACCTGCTGCAGGTGGATGAGTTACCAGCTATGTTGGGCCCTGGGTGTGGGGCAAATTGGGCAGGAGAAGCTAGAGGAAACCCCCTAGTGGATGCCCAGCCCCCTCCCAAGGGTTTGGGACAGACTCATGGCTGGCACCACTGATTTAAAATAGTGACAACTTCATGTTTGATAACATGCTTAAAGGACAAGCTATAAGTCAATGTTTGATTCAAAGGGAACTGCTTGCCTCATCTCTCCAAGCTTAATGGAGTAGTACAAGAGTGAAGACTGTGATTAGTGTATTGGAGTAATACAGACTAAGAGGAGAGGAGACAATTAGCAAGTTTAAGAGATTTTAAAGATTAGGTAGGTTGGTTTTTCTCGAGTCGTTATTCCAATATGGTTTGGGCAGTGCTTGTGGATGCATCATGGAAGACTGTATCCACTTCTAGCTTCTACATTTACTATGTCACTGTCACAGTTACCAGGTTAACTGAACCTCTGACCTCTTCTGATCTTTTGGGATGGAATTCTTAGACTGGGCCATAGGTTGATGTCCTCTCTGATCAACCATGATTGCCTCAGCAGGCCTGATTTATCTTCAGTGCTTGCAGTTCATTTCACTCTGAGATCCAGTAACCAAACAGCCTTCTTAGAGCAAAGTATTATTTATTTAGAACAAAAGCATTGTAGAGAAAACTATCCATCTTCCATATAGGAATCCTGGTAGGTCTCAGCTTCCAAACCTTCCAATACCAACAGGGTGTGGGTCTCTTCTCTTAACTCACCAAACAGTTCTCTGTCCAGCTTCAAGGAGAGTGCTCTTTAAAAGCTGTTTAGTCCTTTTTGATCACCCACATTGTTTTTCAAATTTGTGCCATGATGTCCTTATCTGGGGAGCCATTGTATTGCCTGTTTGTTCTTATAACAGCTCCCATTGAAGTAAAGTAATATAAACACATAATAAATATTCCACTGCTCCAATATGTTGTACAGACTACTTACATATCAATTATTACTTCTCAGTATTCTTGAGATTACTACATAGCAGTTCCACGTCGAGAGTCACATTATATGTAAAACCAGTTATGATACTCAGAAAGTTATTTACTGTATTCTAACTTCTTAATCTGTTTTATTCTTTTTTCAGCTCATTTATTTGAAAATTACTGCAATACTGTTTCCTACCTCTGACTTCTGGCACCCAGTAGTAACACCTGCATTGGTATATATGAGTCAGTTACTTACTAAGGTATGTCTGTAATATTTTACTTCAGTATAAGGCTTCAATCTTTCCATTTCTTTCTTATACTCCAATTTAAAATGCAATGAGATTAAGATATATATTTAGAACTTTTTTGAAAGAATAGCTAGGAATATGTTTTGGTAGAATGTTATATCAGTAATTGTCAGGAAAATATTTTTGGTTGAGAAGTCAAGTCCCACTTAGAGTAAAGCCCTTACTCTTACAAGATCACATCCACTGAGTTGTCATACAAAAACTCCACACTTGAACTTGAGTGCCTAGTATTAAACGAGGATGTTGCTATAACAGGCATCATAGAAACTTGGTTGAACAATGATAATCAGTGGGACACGGTAATGCCAGGGAACAAAATATATATGACAGAATAGTTCATGCTATTGGGGGAGTGGCATTGTGTGTGAAAGAAAGTAGAGTAAAATATAGAAAAATCACGAATGAATCAAACTGTACCATAGAATCTCTTATGTCTAGAAATTCCATACTTGAATAATAAGAGCATAGCAGTATGAATATACTATCAACCAGTTGACCAGGATGGTGATTATGAAATGCTCAGGAAGATTAGGGAGGCTACAAAAATAGAAAACCTAATAATAATGGGGGATTTCTACTATCCCCATATTGACTGGGGACAGACGGATGCAGAGATAAAATTTCTAAACGCCAGTAATGACTGCTTCTTGGAGCAGCTTGTCCACAAGGAGAGAGGCAATTCTTGATTTAGTCCTAAGTGTAGCACAGGATCTGTCCAAGGTGAATATAGCTGAACCACTTGATAATAGCGACCATAATGTAATTAAATTGAACATCTTTGTAGGGGGGAAAATACCAAAGAAACCCATCAAAATAGCATTTAATTTCAAAAAGGTAACTACACAAAAATGAGGAAGCTAGTTAAACGGCAATTAAAAGAAACAGTCACAGGAGTGAAATGCCTGCAAGCTGAATGGAAACCATTTAAGAACATCATAATAGAGGCTCAAACTAAATGTGTACCCCTATGACATTTCAGGGTACAATCCAGACCAGTGGGAGGTTGTGTCACCACCTGCCCTGCAACCTGGGATGTGTCACAGTGATTTGCTGTTGTAGCTTTCAACCTGGGCCCCTCACAAACATCCAAACAGCTTATAGGTCACACCCTGAGTGCCTGTGTATAGCTGCAGCATGCCAGCACGCTCCAGTTACACTGTGGAGTTCACCAGTCTTGATTATCAATTACAGAGTGACCGCAATAACTTCCAGTCCTGAATTTTCCCCCAAAACGTGTGTTCTGCTTTGTCCAGCTCTTTCCTGGACAGTTGAGAAATTTTAGCTCGGTTGCCCCAGTAACAGAACAATATCCAACAGTTTGCTACTTTAAATGGAGTTACTCAAACAATTCAGTTTAAATGCAACACTGGATTAGTTAGATAAACTTGTTTTATTCTTTAATCAAAGTACAAAGAGAGTTTGTGAGTACAAGTACAAGGCATTAAAGTCAGAAATGCTTACAAGACAAAGATAAAATGCTTTCTAGTACTAAAACTTAACAAACTAGACTTTGTTCAAGGTGGAATCGTTACCACATGCTCCCAGCAACAGGTCTGACCAAATTTCAGGTCAGGATCTCTCCCAAAGTCAAATGGCTATTTCTTTTGCCTTAGGTGAAAGAGATGGATAGGGAGAGATACCTTGGGGTGTTTTTGTTCCTCATTTCTATAGTCCAGTTCCTTTTTAAAATGCATTTTCTGTGGCCTACCCCTAAGTCAGGGGTCGGCAACCTTCAGCAGGCGGCCCTTCAGGGTAATCCACTGGCGGGCCACGAGACATATTTTTTACGTTGACTGTCCGCAGGCATGGCCCCCTGCAGCTCCCAGTGGCTGCAGTTCGCCATTCCCAGCCAATGGGAGCTGCAGGAGGCTGTACCTGTGGACAGTTAACATAAACAAAATGTCTCGCGGTGCACCAGCGGATTACCTTGATGGGCCATGTGCCAAAGGTTGCTGAACCCTGCCCTAGCTAAACTTTATTTCCGCTGTGAGGATGGAGACAGGGAGGCACATGGTGAAAGAGATTCCATGCTATTATTTGCTAAAATGCAGATCTGTTTGTTCTGGTTACCCTTCCTTACTAAACAATGGCCACTTGACAGGTGATTGCCCATCAACTTTCATCACACCTGGCTAGAGGTGTCTGCTTGTCTTTTGTCTGTGAGGAACCAGTTTATCCACTTCCCAGATTTGTCTGGTAACCACAGTTGTTATCATTTCAGATTATATTCATAACTTTACATATAGTGTTGCTACATACATTTCACCATGATATTACTGACCAGTGAGTTTAGTTTTCAAATAATACCTCACAAAGCATAATTTGTACATATTATTACAATAGTGTGTAGGCTGTGAATACTCGGGTGAATTTGGTCACAACCCCAAATTAAAAAACAACAGAGGACAAAAAAAAAAATGCCACCATCGCTAAACCACTGAGTAAAAGAGGTGTTTAGAGGCAAAAAGGCATCCTTTAAAAATTGGAAGTCCAATCCTACTGAGGAAAATAGAAAGGAGCATAAGCTCTGGAAGGTCAAGTGTAAAAGTATAATTAGGCAGGCCAAAAAATAATTAGAAGAGCTACTTCCAACTATAGCAAAAGACACAAAAACTAACAGCAAACATTTTTAAGTACATCAGAAGCAGGAAGTCTGCCAAACTGTCATTGGGGCCACTGGACAATCAAGGTGCTAAAGGAGTTTTCAAGGAAGAAAAGGCCATTGCAGAGAAACTAAATGAATTCTTTGCATCATTCTTCATTGGAGAGGATGGGGGTGAGATCCCCACACCCGAGCCATTCTTTTTAGGTGACACGTCTGAGAAACTGTCCAGGACAGAGGTGTCAGTAGAAAACATCGTGGAACAAATTGATAAATTAAACAGTAATAAGTCACCAGGACCAGATGGTATTCACCCAAGAGTTCTGAAGGAACTCAAATATGAAATTGCAGAACTGCTAACTATGGTAGGTTATTATCTTATCAGGTTTCAGAGTGGTAGCCATGTTAGTCTGTATCAGCAAAAACAAGGAGTCCTAGTGGCACCTTAGAGACTAACAAATTTATCTGGGCATAAGCTTTCGTGGGCTAAAACCCACTTCATCAGATGCATGGAGTGGAAAATACAGTAGGGAGGTATACATTCACAGCATATGAAAAGATGGGAGTTGCCTTACCAAGTTGCCTTACCTTAATTGAATTGGCTTGTTAGCACTGACCCCCCACTTGGTAAGGCAACTCCAATCTTTTCATATGCTGTGTATTTATACCTCCCTACTGTATTTTCCACTCCATGCATCTGTTGAAGTGGGTTTTCTACTGACACCTCTGTCCTGGACAGTACATCAGAAGCAGGAAGCCTGCTAAACAACCAGTGGGGCCCCTGGACAATCGAGATAAAAAAGGAGCACTTAAAGACGATTAAGTCACTGCGGAGAAACTAAATGAATTCTTTTGCTTCAGTCTTCATGGCTGAGGATGTTAGGGAGATTCCCAAACCTGAGCCGTCCTTTGTAGGTGACAAATCTGAGGAATTGTCACAGATTGAAGTGTCATAGAGGAAGTTTTGGAATTAATTGATAAACTTAACAATAACAAGTCACTGGGACCAGATGGCATTCACCCAAGAGTTCTTAAAGAACTCAAATGTGAAATTGTGGAACTATTAGCTATGGTTTGTAACCTGTCCTTTTAAATCAGCTTCTGTACCCAATGACTGGAAGATAACTAATGTAACGCCAATATTTAAAAAGGGCTCTAGAGGTGATCCCGGCAATTACAGACCGGTAAGTCTAACGTCCGTACCGGGCAAATTAGTTGAAACAGTAGTAAAGAATAAAATTGTTAGACACATAGAAGAACATAACTTGTTGGGCAAAAGTCAACATGGTTTCTGTAAAGGGAAATCATGCCTTACTAATCTATTAGAGTTCTTTGAAGGGGTCAACAAACATGTGGACAAAGGGGATCCAGTGGACATAGGGTACTTAGATTTCCAGAAAGCCTTTGACAAGGTCCCTCACCAAAGGCTCTTACGTAAATTAAGTTGTCATGGGATAAGGGGGAAGATCCTTTCATGGATTGAGAACTGGTTAAAAGACAGGGAACAAAGGGTAGGAATAAATGGTAAATTTTCAGAATGGAGAGGGGTAACTAGTGGTGTTCCCCAAGGGTCAGTCCTAGGACCAGTCCTATTCAACTTATTCATAAATGATCTGGAGAAAGGGGTAAACAGTGAGGTGGCAAAGTCTGCAGACGATACTAAACTGCTCAAGATAGTTAAGACCAAAGCAGACTGTGAAGAACTTCAAAAAGATCTCACAAAACTAAATGATTGGGTAACAAAATGTCAAATGAAATTTAATGTGGATAAATGTAAAGTAATACACATTGGAAAAAATAACCCCAAAAATAGCCCCCACCTACAATATGATGGGGGCTAATTTAGCTACAGCTAATCAGGAAAGAGATCTTGGAGTCATCGTGGATAGTTCTCTGAAGACGTCCACGCAGTGTGCAGCGGCAGTCAAAAAAGCAAACAGGATGTTAGGAATCATTAAAAAAGGGATAGAGAATAAGACTGAGAATATCTTATTGCCCTTATATAAATCCATGGTACTCCCACATCTTGAATACTGCGTACAGATGTGATCTCCTCATCTCAAAAAAGATATACTGGCATTAGAAAAGGTTTAGAGAAGGGCAACTAAAATGATTAGGGGTTTGGAACGGGTCCCATATGAGGAGAGAATAAAGAGGCTAGAACTTTTCAGCTTGGAAAAGAGGAGACTAAGGGGGGATATGATAGAGGTATATACAATCATGGGTGGTGTGGAGAAAGTGAATAAGGAAAAGTTATTTACTTGTTCCCATAATATAAGAACTAGGGGCCACCAAATGAAATTAATGGGCAGCAGGTTTAAAATAAATAAAAGGAAGTTCTTCTTCACACAGCGCACAGTTAACTTGTGGAACTCCTTGCCTTAGGAGGTTGTGAAGGCTAGGACTATAACAGGATTTAAAAGAGAACTAGATAAATTTATGGAGGTTAAGTCCATCAATGGCTATTAGCCAGGATGGGTAAGGAATAATGTCCCTAGCCTCTGTTTGTCAGAGGGTGGAGATGGATGGCAGGAGAGAGATCACTTGATCATTACCTGTTAGATTCACTCCCTCTGGGGCACCTGGCATTGGCCACTTTCAGCAGACAGAATACTGGGTTGGATGGACCTTTGGTCTGGCCCAGTATGGCCATTCTTACGTTCTAATAAACAGTCAGTTTTCACAATGGAAAGTGGTAAACAGAGGGGGGTCTCCAAGGATCTGTACTGGAACTTGTGCTGTTCAACATATTCATAAATGATCTGGAAAAAAGGGTGAACAGTGAGGTGACAAAGTTTGTAGATAATACAAAATTACTCAAGATAGTTAAGTCCGAAGCAGACTGCAAAGAGTTACAAAGGGATCTCTTAAAACCAGGTGACTGGGCAAGAAAATGGCAGATGAAATCCAGTGTTGATAAATGTAGAGTAATGCACCTTGGAAAACATAATCCAATACATACAAAATGATGGGTTCTAAATTAGCTGTTACCACTCAAGAAAGAGATCTTGAAGTCATGGATAGTTCTCTGAAAACATCTGCTCAATGTGCAGCAGCAGTCAAAAAAGCTAACAGTGTTGGCAACCATTAGGAAAGTTATAGATAATAAGGCAGAAAATATCAGGCCACTATATAAATCGCTGATATGCGCACATCTTGAATACTGTATGCAGTTCTGGTCGCCCCATCCCAAAAGCGATATATTAAGACTGGAAAGGGTACAGAGAGAGGCAACAGAGCCAATTAGAGGGGAGATTAAAAAGAGAGACTGTTCAGCTTAGAAAAGAGACAACTAAGGGGGAGATATGATAAGAGGTCTATAAAATCATGAGTGGTTTGGAGAAAGTGAATAGGGATGTGTTATTTATCCCTTCACATAACAAAAGAACCAGGGGTGCTCAATGAAATTAATAGGCAGCAGGTGTAAAATAAACATAAGGAAGTACTTCTTCACACAACATACAGTCAACGTATGGAACTTGTTGCCAGAAGTTGTTGTGAACGCCAAAAGTATAAGTAGGTTAAAAAAAAAATTAGATAAGTTCTTGGAGGATAGGTGCATCAATTATTATTACCCAAGATGGTCAGGGACGGATCCCCATGCTCTGGGTGTCCCTAAATATCTAATTTCCAGAAGCTGGGACTAGACAACAGAAAATGAATCACCTGATAATTGCCCTGTTCTGTTCATTCCCACTGAAGCATCTGGCATTGGTTGCTGTCAGAAGACAGGATACTGGGCTAGATGGACCATTGGTCTGACCCAGTATAGCCATTCTTTTGTTAGTATATAAAGTCTGTGAGAGTCATGGAATACAGTGGGTACATGAATCCTATTAATTAGTGATGCTATCTTCCATATATGCTAATAGCTCTTATTTAAAAGAGACAGTTGATTTTATTTATAAAATATCTATTCTGTCCCTCAAGAACTTGCCTAACTACATTGAAATATATTGAACAAAAGTGTCTCAATTTTCAATCCTAAAGCCCTATTTATATAATTGAAATGTCCAGATTCAGTTGCTCCTATCTCATCTGAGGTGCAGAGTTTCTTTGAAATCTGGTTGTTCTTTAGTTCCTTTCTAAAAGTGGACATCACACCATTGCGATGAAAACTGTAGGACCTACATTTAACAACAGACAAGCAAATAATAGAATAAGTATATCAGAAACAAGGCAAGATATAAAAAGGAAGTAATTCTTGTTGTGCTTTAGTGCCCTCTAGTGGTTAAAGTAGTTTTGGCAAGGTTTCTACTGAATGCTGCACATTCTCCAGTCAATGAGATAAGGTGTCAAATTTTACTAGGGAGCAGCAACATGTATTAAAAATGACCCCAGCAAAAAATGTATTAGCTAATTTTTTAAAAGCTGCTAAAAATGACCAGTTGTTTAGATCATACATTTTTGTGAAACTTATTAAAATCTCTCTATCAGAGGTTATTATTTTTGCTCATGGCATAAAGCCATAATTTTCATACTAATATGTTAATGCAGGGGTTTTTTTTATTTTTTTGTTAGTGCCAAGTCATGACACTGCAAGATGTTGTTAAAGGATTGTTTGTGTGCTGTTTGTTCCTGGAATATGTATCACTGTCTCAAAGATTCATACCAGAACTTATCAATTTCCTCGTTGGAATACTTCACTTATCTATATCTCAAAAACGACCACAGGGTAAGTTTGCTTGGAGTGATAAATATGAATGTGCATTGTTTTTATACCTCAAGCTTCCTTGCAATTAAAAATTCCACCTTGAGAGCTTTATGTTCCAAATGAAAGACCAAGTCATCTCCTAGATAGATCTCCTGAGCTGACCAGGAAACTAAGCTCTCAAATGCTGCAGTTCCCAGGAGATCCACCAGACACAAGCGCCATCTGCATGAAAGCCTTCTTCTTCCACACTGCTTCCCAGCCCCCATAGAAAAACAGCTCCTTCCCCTTTGGGCACCACGGTATAGTGAGGAAACGAGTGTGAGTTAATGCTGTTAAAGTTAATTTCTGTGGAGTTGTGGGGGTAGCAATTGATGCTGTAGACTGCAGTTGATGCTACCCCCTCCTGACCTGATAACCAGAATGCCAGAAGAACTGCAGTGGGGCTTCCATGCAATCAGGATACAAGGGAGGTGTATGCCACAAAGCTGATACTCTTCCTCATTGCATACCTATCTGGATTTGCCTCCCCTTGCACTCATATTAACAGAGGGGACAATCTGGCCTGTAATGTAGAGCAATCTTCATATTTAGCACTTTTCGACAACATCATTTAATGAATACCATGTAGACTAAGACTGTCTCTTTAATTTGGCCTTTTCTACTTGCTCATGATTTCCCTGCCAGCCTCTCTCTTTCTCTGGGCACTCTTCCTCAATGCCCCATTTCTAGGTTAAAAAATGATGGTTTTTTCTTTGTCAGGGAATTTAGTGACAGTAATTCACCTATAAGGGGAAGAGGAGAGTTGTTGCCAAATCATGGAAATCAAATGCTTGCTTGCAATACCTTCTCCATTGTTCAAACTTTGATATGATTTATCGTCTATAGGTCTGTAAATTGTTACCAGTGTGAAACTTCCCTACAAGTACTGCTGGTTTCTAATTATGTGTGTGGTGAGGGAAAGTTAAATAAAATGTCTGTTAGTGGTACAGCAATACTCATCTATATAGATATTAATTACTTCCACATAGAATATCACATTAGAACTACTGAGATATTTGCTGTGCAATTCAATATGGCTTTGGCACGTACCTGCCAAATACTTGCTTCGTATGATTTCCTGGCAGCTTGGTTGTCTGTTGACACACTCATATTTAAAGATGAGTTCACACCAAATTTTGTGATACATATTGATATGCTATCATACCAATAAATTCCTTGACATTTCTTTTTAACAGCTAGTAACATAATTTAATATAACTCCATTATTTTAACATTGAGGGCCTGATCCATCTGCCTTTCCTGTGAGGAAGTGATATGGAACAGATCCTAAGAAAAGACTGAGAGAGCATGTCTCAAATGCAGATTCAGATGTACTTAAGGCTTTAGAAAAAACTGTTCCCCTTTTTAAAAAAAAAAAAAAAAATCCATTGTTCTTCCTTTGGGGGAGAAGTGTCATTTTTAGGCAGGTAGCCTTTGGTAACATATTGATCAAACATGCAGGTAGAATAAATACTGTCTGCCATTCTCTTAGAAGTAGAGCAGATAAGTATAATTTAAACATTCAGGCCCTGATCCTGTGGACAGTTGTGCACATGCTTTTTTTCACTACCAGGAGTAGTCGCATTGACTTACTGGTACTACACACAGTAGTAAAGTTAAGCATGAGCATTTGCAGGATTGGGGCCTTGAAACCAAAACCTCATCTATCTTTACCTCCTGAGTCATTTTTGTACTTTCAGGGCAGAGACTCTCTTGCATACGTCTAAAAAGCCATTTGCATCAATGTCAATATAATATATAAATAACTTAATAAAATTATTTTATTTTTGTTGCTAAAAGGTTTTGAAATGAGCTCCTTTCTAAGCCTGCAGGGCTTAAAAACATGTTCATTGCACAGATTTATTTTTCTTTATCAGGATTGGCAATTTCCCAGGGAGAACTAGTTTAGGACAGGGTGCTGGTAAATACTGGCTTAAAGCCAGTTTAAACCAGGAAACTGGGGGAAATTATTGCATCATTATCCAGCAAGTTCAGCAAGCATAGAACAATTTTTTTCAAACTTTGGATACATCCATTCAGAACTGAGGAACAGTTTTGGTCTAACCACTGTGTCAAAGTTGGATTTCTGCTACAGAATGCTACATGACCAAATAGCCCTGGACTCGTAGTCGGCAACTCTGCAGGCTTCTGATTGCTTAATGCTTCAAGCCTACAACCCTGCATTATTGTCATTTTCATATAATGAAATATCTTTGACTTTTGTTTATATAATATTGAAAACTGAAATATGAGTCATGACAGATATAACTTCCTTGAGAAAATACCGAATCAAAATGCATAGAAATTCCGATGTGCAGTATTATAATTACATATATTCTTATTACACCCACTGCAGTTTTACTTTAATTTAAGGTTGTACAAATAAAATGTATGAATCTCTGGTTAATTTGACTATGTAACTAAAACTAAGTGTAGTGCAGTATGCATTAATTAAACCGATTTTAACATAGCAAATTCCTTAAACTGGGGCTAATTAGTTTTTCACTGGGCAGCAAAAACTGTGATTTAATCTGGTAAAAACCACATCCGGTAAATACCATGCCATCCCAGTTTTTTAGATAACCACATCAAACTAACCTTTCTGATTCTCCCCTAGCTGTGAAACTTTTCCTGACACCACTATCCCTACTGGTTTGTAAATTCCCTCTTCCAGCTGATCTCTTATTCTAGTCCCTACAGGTGCCACTGTCTTTCTCTCCTACCCCCACTGACTTTACTATTGGCCTAATGTTTTGTAAAAAGATTAGCTTTATGTATATTTGAAATAGCCTAATTTTAATAAAGGATCTTTATAAAACTATACATTTTCTATAAATCAACTTTTTCCTGTCTTAAGACTAAGTTTTTTTTATTTTGAGAACTAATCTGTATATAACCGTTGTAACTGGTTTTTTAGGCTATATTCTAGTGCATCCTTTCAGACCAGCAGGAAAAAATTCAGACTTACTCTTGGTCTGTGATAAGAAGGATATGGAGACTTGGAAAAAGCAAAATCTGCCACTCAGTATTGTGACTAGATTAAAGGAAAGCAGCCAAACAGAAATGAATCATTTCAGGTATGTGAAGAGTATATAAGGGGAAACTCCAAGTTATTTCTTGTGTAACTTCGGTGGCAGTGTTCTGTCAAGCATGTTACCTTCTAGGACAAAAGCGGAGGGTGGACAATTGTAATAAATTATTTTCATCATATGGTTCTTGTAGCATATTAAATAACAAAATATACCATTCTTAGGGTCTGATGCTGCAAAATGCAGAGCACTTTCTGTGAGTGCTAAGCACCCCCAACTCTTTTTGGCTTCCTTGAGATTTGAGGATGCTTAGCACCCCACAGGAGTTGCTAAACATTTTGAAGGGTCAGACCCTTAAGCAGCAAATAAATCTTGATTACATGCAAAAATAACCACATCAAAAGAACATTATTAAGATCGCAAAGTCAAGCGCTCAGAAGTTATGAGATTCAGCCCAGTTGTGGATACGCATTGTGATTCATTGTTCAGTTACATGATCACATTCTGTTTTTCCACAGTCCGAGCCTTATTCAGTGCACAGAATGGATTATGTTTATTTAATGAGCAGCTACTGAATAGTTTCTCCTCGTTGTTCCTTGTGTGGCCATCGGCCTTATTTACTGCACACTATTCAAATCCTACTCTGAAGACAGAATTATTAATTTCTTCCTGGGCTTTTCTATGGCACTCATCACTATAATATCTGAGTGCTTCACAAACATCAATGAATGTATCTTCACAAAATCCTTGTGAAGTAAGGGAGTGATATTATCCCCATTTTACAGGCAGGGAACTAAGGCATGGAGATTAAGGTCAAAAGTTTCCACTAAATTTTGGTGCCAATTTGAGATTCCTGGGACCTGACTTTTTGGAGTATGTTATAGCACTTTATATGCTCAAAGCATCGCTCCTACTGACTTCAGTTGCAGCTGTGAGGGCTCAGTATAGCTGCAGATCTGTTCTCAGGGCGGGGGCAGTGCCTGGAACCCCATGTTTCCCCCCTCTCTTCCCCCGGAGCCGGACCCACTGCTGGTCACTTCTGGCCAGCAGTGGGTCCAGAACAGGTAGGGACTAGCCTGCCTTAGCCGGGCAGCACCGCTGACGGGACTTTTAATGGCCCGGTTGGTGGTGCTGTCCAGAGCTGCCGTGACCCAGTGCCTTACATTCCACGACCCAGTACTGAGTCGCGACCCACAGTTTGAAAACCACTGATCTAGTCTAACCTGCACATTGCAGGTCACACAGAACCTCACCCACCCACTTCTGTAATAGAGCCCTAACCTCTGGCTGAGTTACTGAAGTTCTCAAATAGTGATTTAAAGACTTCGTTACAGAGAATCCACCATTTACACTAGTTTAAACCTGCAAGTAATCTGTGCCCAGTGCTGCAGAGGAAGGCGAAAAACCCACAAGGTCTCTGCCAATCTAACCTGGGGTGAAATTCCTTCCCAACCCCAAATGTGGCAATCAGTTAGACCCTGAGCATGTGGGCAAGACTTACTAGGCAGATACCTGGGAAATAATTCTCTGTAGTAACTCAGATCCCTCCCCATCTAGTATCCCATCGTACCATCCCCTTGCCCATGTCTCCCCACTCACTGTCTCCCTGTCCCAGTCACTTTGCACAGCAAGTCTTAGTTCTTCTCCTGCACCCTGGCTCCTGGTTGGATCTGTCTCCCTTCCTCCCCCCTCCTTACCCAATTGCCCATACATATGCTCTGGTTCCTAGTCCCAAGCACACACACCCTGTCTCCTCCCCACCCCAGCCAACTGTCTCTCATCCCCCCCGCTGCCATTTTCTTCTCTGACTTCCAATCCTAGTCTTCTTGCCCAACCAGTTCCAGCCTCCCCCATCTCTCCAGTCCTTGTCTCACCAGACCTCTTGTCCCCTAGTCTCCAGTCCTTGTCTCACCAGACCTCTTGTCCCCTATCTAGTCCTTTCCTTCCCCTCAGTCCTGCTGTTGTTCCCTCTGCCTTTAAATTAGACAGCTTTCTCTTCCATGTTGCCTGAGTGCCAGGGAACATTGAGAGTTTAGGAGAGATACATTCTCTGCTCTTACTTCCAGCCCTTGACATCCCTCTGGTTGGGAGCAGTCATTGTAGGGAAAGCTGGGCTTTGCCGTGTATAGCCCCAAGCTGGAGCATGCTTATTCACTCTGTGGGGATGGCACATGTGTAGTCCTGTCAGCATTAGAAGATGTGAGGGGATGGAGCCTGCTCAGTTGCTCTGTGTGAGGGTGGTACATGCATAGTGTAGTCAGCACTAGGAGTTCTGGGAAGCTTGAGCCATGCTCAGTCAAGATGGAATCTTCAGAAATTTAGCTACTAAAATTGAAGTCTCTACTGAGCATGTGCAAACTGAATTTTTTCAGAGGCTTTTAACTTGGCCAGTTTGGGGTGATTTTTCACAAAGATGGCAAAAGGCACAACCCTGACACAAAAGGCAACCTATGCCAAATTTTAAGTGCCTCCTCCAAAACATAAGGACACTAGAGCTTTTCAAAGAAAAGGTTGCAAGAATATTTTACCATGGGCAAAACAAGATATTTTTTCTAGCCTTATTCATGAAAATGATTGAACATATTTGGCCAAAATTTTCCCAAAAAAACAAACAAACCCCAAAGCAAAACAAAAAAAATTAGCCTGAGGCATGCAGAAATGAGAAGAGAAAATTTGGCAGTTATAAGCAGCAGAAAACAAGATCTTATTAAGGTTGCCTGACACTTCTCATTAAAATAGGTGGCACTATCAGCCCTGCCTATAATTCGTTTAGTTTGAAGCTCTTGAAACTTTGATCTGCATATTCTAATTATACAATAAAATTATTTCAGATAACGTTTTAACATGGCTGTGTACATCTCTCTAACAGGTTATCATGTCTAGCCGTGTGTTTGGATCTCATTAAGAAATGTGCAGCTTTGTATGAATCTTTGTCATCCTTCCATGAAATAATGCAACCCATCAGAGTACTTCTTACAGAACATATACCAGTGAATGAATACCCTAAACAACTGCAGGTAAATGTTCCCCAAAAAACTAATTGCTGATGTAGAAGTTAGTAAATTCTGGGGTCTGAATATGTGCTAACAAAAAATGTAAAGCTAATTAAAAATAAAAACAAAGTGAAATATTTTTTCAAAGGCCAAGCATGTTATCTTTTTAGGATTTGGTGTGTAGATATCTGGGGTATGAATCTATGATAGACTAGCCTGCTGCACCCTAAGTGCCTATGTGGTTCCTGCTGCTGCACACTAAAAATTCTGTAAGGCACATTGATCTACTACTGTTATACTGTAAGCTGGTCTATAGACAAGCCCTTAGACAATTTGAAGACTAAATCGGTGTTTCTGTGGAAAAGTTGGAGTGTGTACATAATGTTTTGGATGGATATTTTTCATGGTGCAGCCAAACCTGCCTTTTTGCAATGTTCCCTCTAATTTTTTACATCCATGTGCAGAATGAATTTTGTTATGTGCACCAATATGGAGGTGATGTGTGGCAGGGGTGGGGCTGAGGGGTTCGGAGTGTGGAAGGGGTCTCAAGGCTGGGCTCTGGGGTGGGGCCAGGAATAAGGGGGGTTTGGAGTGCGGGACGGGGCTCAGGGCTAGGGTAGAGGGTTGGGGTGTGGGGGGTGAGGGCTCTGGCTCGGGGTGGGGAATGCAGACTCTGGGGTGGGGCCGGGGATGAGGGGTTCAGAGTGCGGGAGGGGGCTCAGGGCTGGGGCAGAGGGTTGGGATGCGGGGGGGAGGGTGAGGGCTCTGGAGTGGGGCTGGGGATGAGGGGTTTGGGGTGCAGGCTGCCCTGGGGCTGCAGCGGGGGGAGAGGACTCTTCCCCCCCCCCCCAGCCCCCTCTCGCTGCAGCAGCCTGGGGCCAGGAGAGAGGTGCCTCCCCGGCCACGGCAGCTCTGGGTCTGGGGCGGGGGAGAGGCCCCTCTCCCCTCCTACACAGCCCTTGATAGCCTGCTGCACAGTCATGCAGCTTAGAGGGAACTTAAGTGGAGAGGGTAACATTTAAGGCATCTCCACTGTGGTAACTCTTTAAGTAGCTCCTTTTATAGGACTAGCATTCTGGCAGTGCTGTTCCTGAGGCTCTTGTATGAATCTATAAGACACTGGTACAGTCAAACAAATGTATCAAATAAAGGAATAGATACCATGGGCATGGGTACCTTAATAAAACCAGTATAAATATATATTGTCAGCTTCACCAGTTAGTTAGTTAGTTCTTTTCCAGAGATGGAAGGATAAGATGATCTGAGTGTAGCCTGACTCTCTTCTGCATTCAGTGAGGATGGACCCTCTTACTTAGCAGTAGCGTCCTCTCTAGCAGAAGAGGCAGCATGAAGTACACCTCTACCACGATATAACACTACCCGAGATCATACGAATTTGGATATAACGCTGTAAAGCAGCGCTCCGGGGGGGGCGCGGCTGCGCACTCCGGCAGATCAAAGCAAGTTCAATATAGCGCGGTTTCACCTATAACACGGTAAGATTTTTTGGATCCCAAGGACAGCGTTATATCAGGGTACAGGTGTATGTTAGAGAATAAGCTGTAATGTCGATGGCATGGAAAGGCTATGTTAGAGTCACAAAATTTAACCTTTAGAGCAATGAATATTCAGCCTTAAAGTTTTAAGTTGAGAGACAGGAGCTGAGTTAAACTAGCTTTAGTCTGTTGTCAGTCATGCCAACCTGGCCTCTTTTCTCTTTGGCCACAGACCCTTCTTGCTGTCCATCACAGCACCCCCTGTAAAACCTTGGAAAGCCTTTTGAAACCAGCCAGACCTGAAGGTTTAAAATTCTTCAGGACTAGCAAATATCCTAAAGGTTAATTGTGATCTTACTAAGAGAGAAGATAGTTTGTTGAGGATGCCTTAGCCAGGAAAACATTATTCCTGAGACAGACAATAACTGGTTTGTAAAATTTGATATCTTTGATTAGCTTTTAAAATCCTAACCTCATTTGCATTTTCAGGAGTTGCATCAAAATGCTCTGAAAGAGCTAGAGGACAAAGGAAAACAGTATACCCCGTTGGTGTGTGAGAAAAAGAAGCCTGTGCCATTGAAACTGTACATGCCCAAAATTGTGAAAGTGTAAGTACAGTAATCCTTATAGAAGTGAAGAAAGCAAAACTGCAGGTTAGGCATTGAGGAGCATGGAGATAGGCTTCAGCTAAAGCCTCTTTGTCATTCTTTTCTAAATTTCCAAGCAGAGTAGGCTTCTGGAAAGTAGGAAAAACAAGGGAAATGGAGTTGCGTCTCCTACATTAGGTGCACACGCTGCCAAGGATGGACTACCCTGAGAAAGGGAAGGAGGAATCCTGAGAAATGGAGGACGGATTGTCTTGTTTTATGGCTAGAGTGTAGGACTGGAAATCAGGAGATCTGGAGGCTATTCCTGGCTCTCTTATTCGTTTCTCTGTCAATAATAAATTCATAGATCTTTAACGCCAGGAGGACCATTATGAGCATTTGATCTGACCTCCAACACAACATAAAACACAATCTGGATATCTACTTTACACTGGTTCTTAATTTTGGGGGTCTGTCTAGCCTTCTCAGCTTTCCTGGATTCCCAGATTGCCACAATGGCCAGAAACACATTTTTTATGTTTGGCTGACCAAGAAATTTCACCCCTTCCTATCAGATATAGACCTTTCCACATACACATCATATGTATCTTTTTGTGTTCTGGGTTAGATTATAGCAACATCCTGATTGTACTTGGCATTAACTTTGAAAGATATTTGGTAGCTTTTACTAATACCAAATGCAGTTGCACTCTGACTGGCAAGGGCATATTACACCAATACTCTTCACTGGCTGCTGATTCATTTCCAGACAGAGACACTAATTACTATAATAAATTATCTTACGTGTTGGTCTCCGTTAAGAGACTGCATCTGCCCCACTATTTGCATTCATCCTAAACTCCCTCTGGCTATTTGCCGAAAGGGTGAAACAGATCAGGTATCCGCCGTTCCCCCCCCCCCACACACACAGACACACCTTGCCCCCCTGTAATTTATTATGAGAAATATTAACCTTAGAACACATTGTGAGACTCCATTTTTGTCCAGGTTTTCCACTAACTGCAGATGCTGACATTCTGGATTTAGCCAGCTAGTATGGTTCTCTCAGCCTCTATACTTCTGAAGGTAGTGCTACATGTGGAAGGTTGCTGTGTATTGGCGCTCTGAAAAATGTTATCTGCTCTTTATCTAAATTATATAACGTAGTCAGATACTTTTGTTATGGTATCCTATAAATATGTAATTATAAGTGAGACTGTTAAGCCCTTGGTATTGAGAGTTGCCATAGGAGTGTGCAAAGACATAGAATATCAAAAAGTAGCATCTATATAAAAGCTAGTTCCTGTGAAGTATAAAAGAGTATGCTTGACATAATATATTATGCTTGTTCATACATGCATTCTAATTTCAGCCTGGAGTTTGGGAGGAAACAGGGAGGCAGCAAGGAGGAGCAGGAAAGAAAGAGGCTGATTCACAAACACAAACGTGAATTTAAAGGAGCTGTTCGGGAGATCCGGAAAGATAACCAGTTCCTGGCTAGAATGCAGCTTTCAGAAATGATGGAAAGGTAATATATGGTTACTGGCAATGGCAATTATGGCAGTGGAGTTACTCTTTATGCTGGCCAATGTTCACTCTTGGTCCCTGTCAAGACTGGCATGTTGGTCAGCCATATTTTGAGGTCAAAACAGTTGTCTGACAACTTGGCAGCAACCACTACAACACTTGCAATCAGAGTTACCTGATGTTTATTGCTCATCAACCTCTATATATTTTGAATGTGTTGGAATTTTGCTGTTTCATTCATATAGTCACATAATGTGTATTTCTAAGTAACATATCTATAATATGTGTAATTTAAACTGTAGCAGAGGCGGTGTTTCAAAAATGTAGCTTTTTATAAATATTAAAATACATATTGTTTGGCCTATTTTAACTGATGTCAGAATAAAGATTTAAACATATGTTTGTTTTTATAGGGATTCTGATAGAAAAAGAAAAGTGAAAAATCTTTTCAATAGCCTTGCTACACAGGAAGGTGAATGGAAGGCAATGAAGCGGAAGAAGTTTAAAAATTAGACATTGACGTTCTACAACAGGAAACCCTGGGACATTATATTTTTACTTTCAGGTAAAATATAAACTGATGGATTTTGAGGAGACTTTATATCTTGATGCATTCCTTTTGTGGAAAACACGTGCCTTCAAGAACGGTCTGAAAAACGATTCTGATAAATTGGTTAGCTGGCTGTATTTTTTCATGTGAAAAATAAAGATAACATCCTTTTGTATTTGTTGTACTTACTATCATATTAATGAGAAATATTTTGGTGAATAGGTGTTCAGAAAACTGTACAGACTGTGCGTTCTTGACAGGAACTTCTGACCAATTCTGAGAGTCCATATTATGGTGCATTGTATGGGTATTCTAAAAAGAATCAAGTAACAGGCATAGACTTTTTTGTGTATTTTTGATACAGACGCTCCCCGGGTTACGCAAGACCTGACTTATGAAAATGCGCACTTATGGGAAAAGTTCCATAAGCCAGAAATAGGATTTTCTAGTTGCGGAAATTTTTGCATAACGTACGGGTATACGTTTCCGACTTACGCAAAATTCGAGTTACGCAAGGCTTTCTAGAACGGATCGATTGCGTAAATCGGGGGGCGTCTGTATTGTAAAATTGCTGACATTGAATTAGCATCACAACTATATACTACTTGGAGTTCAAGCAGTAATGTTCTAAATAGCATTTTGCTTTAGGAAAGTACGATTCCTGTACTCTAGGGCCTAATGGAACTAGTTTGTTGACAGTTGGTGTATGGTTAAAGCCCAACATCCATTTATCAGTTCAATAACTGTTGACATTTGCTTCATATGTATTGAATCTTAATGTTGATCTCAATTTACAGTTCTAAAACTCTGTGTATCAAGGGTCAGTTAAACAGACTAGCTCAGCACCTTCATAACTATCTGATTGGCTCACAGCTTTAAATCATTTTTACATATTTCATAACAAAACAAGTTCAGTTACTTGGGTACCTGAATGACAGTTGGAAAACATTTGTACTCTATCAGCTACATTTGTGCAGAAACAAGAAGTATTTCACCCCTACTTCACTGTGTAAAGTTGGTCACTTGAATTGGATCACCATCCCAAGATTGATCACAATCTGCCTAAATCCATCCATGGCTAATTATATGTGCAGTGAAGAAATCTATAATTACTTTCCAGTTTCAAAATACTTAAAGTTGTTCTAAAGAAGAGGCTAAGAGTTCTAAAGAACCTCTGCAAAATTAAACCATTTTTACTTCACAGCTGCACAAACATGAAACCCTTAAAGTGCAGCTTTAAACTTACTGTTAGCCCTACAGAGCCAGCAGAGCAGTGGGAGAGTGAGTTGGATTCTTTTCTATATGTATCATTCATAGATTTGTTCCCTTAGGACCACTCGTGTGTGAAGCTACTCATATGCGCAATGCTTTGCTGGGTCAGGGCTTAAATTCCAGTAGGAAGGCCAGATTCTAGCCTCAGATCCCTCTATGCAATCTGATTCTTTTCTGTCTACATATTTATACCATACTTTTCACAATGGCATCTAGAATCCAGATGGATCTCCCTACACATAAGCATACAGTCTTCTTTCTTCTCCCCTTTTAAAAACCTGAAAACTAATTTTTTCCAAGATTCTGCACTCAGCTATACCTGTACATAAGGACAATGTTGCACAGGTGATGTCAACATTGGTCCTGCAGGATTTTTATTAATGGTGGTGACGTATATGAGCCAGAAAAAATACAGCTTATCCTTTAAATGCCAAGTTGAGTTTGCCAGGCTACTGGTTAGAATAAACATCTTTTTACTTTTAAAGTAAGATAATTTGATTTGATATATAAACATAGAACTTCACAATGCCATATTTAAAGTTCCGTTTCAAAGTTGAATACGTAGTTTTCTGAACTGTCAAAACAAGAGTGTACAGTTTTAATATGCACATGTATTTACCATGATTGTGCATCTATATGGCTCCTAACTGTTCACTTCTGTGATCAGAGGCGGCTCTAGGCACCAGCAAAGCAAGCACGTGCTTGGGGCAGCCCATTTGCAGGGGCGGCAGGGATCCAGCATGGGAGCTGAGAGCCAACAGGGGGCACTCGGAGCTGTAGTTCCTTGGTTAGCTCCCTGCCTATAGAGCCAGCCCTGGAGCAGGGAAAGAACTACATTTCCCAGCATTCCCTTGGCCACTACCAACAGGAAAGAGGGGGCGGAAGTGAGGAAGCTAAGACCTCATGCTGCAGCCTGCTTTGAATGGAGAGCTGCACTGTGAAGGGTAGGGATACCATATTTTAACATTCAAAAAATAGGACACTCCACAGGGAGGGAGGGTAGCCCCACCCTGCCCCCATCCACTCCCTCCGACTGCCCCCCACAGAAACCCCAACCCATCCAACCCCCCTGCTCCCTGTCCCCTGATCACCCCCTCCTGGGACCCCTGCCCCAACTGCCCCCCAGGACCCCACCCCCTATCTAAGCCCCACTGGTCCTTGTCCCCTGATTGCCCCCTCCCGGGACCCCACCCTCTATCTAAGCCTCCCTTCTCCTTGTCCCCAACTGCCCCCTCCTGAGATCCCCACCCCCTACCTGTCCCCTGACAAACCCCTGGGACTCCCATGCCTATCCACCCGCTGCCTGTCCCCTGACTGCCCCCCCGGACCCCCCCCCCCCTTCTCCAACCCCCCAGCCCCCTTACCGTGCCACTCAGACCAGAGTGTCTGGCTTCGCGAAGCGCCAGACACGCTGCTGCATACATGCTGCCGTGCTCCCCTGTGGAGCCACAGCTCCCGCCCCAGCACCTGCCTTCCAGATTTGAACACCTCAAAATTCAGGAGTGCTCAAGCTCAGTTTGGGCGGCTGTTACTTCATTTCTCCCAAATCAAATATACTGATCCACTGTAACTTCCTGTAGAAAAAGTAGGATAAAATTGAGCAAGAAATGCTTCCCAGTGGTTATTAGGACTGGAATTGCTATTTTCAACAGCCATTGCCTTTTGTTTGTTTGTTTGTTTGTTTGTTTAAAAGGAAGACAGTGATATTGCATTGGCAAATTCCCCATAGAAAGAAAGAGTGGAACAAAAGAATAATAAAGGCACCTCAACTTTTCCTCATTTATGTAGGACAGTCTTATAATATGCATCCAGATATCCTCCAATCACACAAGCTGAAAATTGTTCCACTTTACTGCAGTTCTGTAACCATATGGGAACCAATCCTGTCTGTGTTCTGTGCACACCTAAAATTCCTGCTGAATGACCTGCCCTGGGAGCGAGTTACCAGTGACCCAGGGCTGCGGCGGAAGGAGGGAGTGGTGGGGGGATAAGGGGGAGCCCAGGGCTGGGGCAGCAGGGTGTGTGTGTGGGGGAGGGGGAGAGCCCAGGGCTGGGGCGGCAGGTGGGTGCGGGTCGGGGGGGGAAAGCCCAGGGCTGGGGTGGCAGGGGGGTGCGGCGAGGAGCCCAGGGCTGGGATGGGGGGCAGCCAAAATGTGTTTTGCTTGGGGCAGCAAAAAACCTAGAGCCGGCCCTGTCTGTGATTGTGTAGGTGTACAATGTACATTCAAATTAGAAATGGAATCACATGTTCATTTTTAAACAGAGTTCTGGAGAGCTGTCATTTTAGAGTTTGGCCAATTTGTGAATGAAAAATGGTGGATTTGACTTTTTAACTTTTTCTTGAAAAATAATGTAACTCCAATCAATCCAGATACAAAATTTATACTAAGCTGCCTCAACCTAGCCACAATGTTTGATTCTTACCTTCTCGAATTAGATTTACAATGAAAGTACCAATAGACCCTGAAATATGAGGGTAAAATGAAAAACTGTGCTGATATTTAAATTTTCCCTTTAACTCCAAGAAAACCATACTTCATTTTTGCAAAATGAGACTTTTTTGCGTATCAAGATTTCCGATACAAAAGAGATGTCACCTTATTTGGGAAAGTTAATTTTTACTAAATCTCAAAATTAATGTTGCAATATAACTGATGAGTAAGTAGCATAATGATGCATCAATTTCTCTGCTTTTAAAAACAGATTTATTTGGTGTTAAAAAGCCAGTGCATAATATGTACATGCACTCATGCTGCATAAAAGATGAAGATTTCCTGATCTGAAATAGTTTTGCACTTTTTTTCCAGTGACAAATGTTTAGTTAGCCATTCCAAGAACCAACGAGGATGGCTGCAGTCTTCAGAGACATTTTAAGCGGTTGATGTACAGGTTTGTGTTTCCACCAGATGCATCATGGAAATTCTCCTTTTTTTATATCCTCCTGATCTTACAAAATGTCTTGTTTTTAATAAGATGGCAAAAAATTAAAAATGAACAATATTTTCATATTAACTTGCTATTCTGTTATTACTAGGCTTTCTTGTTACAGGGTGCACCACTCACTGCTGGTCTGGCACTTCCTCCTGGTCACTCTTGAGGATTAGCTCTTGAGATCAACATCCCCACACTCGCATCTGCAGCTCCTCTGTCATCCCAGGAACCTCTTTGTGACTCAGCCCTCTGGTCGGGTCATTCAGTGTTCCTCCCTTTCGGGGTAGCGCAGTCCCTTCCACTGCCTTGGTGCCACTCCTTCAGTGGCTGGTAGGAGAACCCAGACCTGCCCTCTACTCCAGGTTCCGGTCCAGAGACCCTCACCTCAGTAGTTCTGGACTTTCCTCTCTTAGCCCTCACTGCTCCTTCCCTGGATGGAGAATTTTAATTATTTTTGGTGCAGAATTTTTAATTTTTGGGCACAGAATTCCCCAAGGAATAATTAATCTATACTGAAGAAGGGATGAGAAGGATGGGGTGGAAATGGATTGTGCCAATGGCATGGAAAGGGTTGTGAAGCTGGAGTAGAAGGGGAAATAGAGGAAGTGCATATGTAAATAGATTGGGAGAAAGGGCATAATTTACTGGAGCTGGGGAAAGAATATGGAAAGATTATGGGGCTTGTGTGAAGAACAGTCAAGCAGACCTTTTCCTCTGAGACAATACTGGGTAAAATTAACTTATGTGCTTTTTAAAATTGTGCCTGCTGTCAGTATTTAAGACAAATATAATTCTTATATTGTAAACTTGTCACTAATCATAGCACAACATATATATGGCACTTTACATGTACAGAGCACTGTACAGACATTAAACAATCCTCAGGACACTCTGTGATAGAGGCTAGTAAATATCCTCATTTTACAGATGAGGAAACAGTGTAGAAATGACTTGTCCAGTGCCACTCACCAAGCAAGTAGCACAGTAGGAATTAAAATTCATGTCCTCTTTATTACCATTCCAGGGCAGGCTATACATACATTGTATATTCTCACATTAGGGTTGACTATACACATACTTGAAAAGCAGCTTGTAATGTCAGCATATTCATATAACTTCCTTAGGTTGTCCTCTTTCACAGATCCTGCATGCCAGATTCAGGAGGTTTCAAACTGTTGCTTGTTACACTGATATTATAATGCATGTACAACACTATACTGACAATATACTGTATTATATTTGCTGTCTGTCCTTCAGGCTCTTGAGATGGAGTTTGTTTGGTTACTTTGGTCATTAAATGATTATAAAGCAGTGTTTCCTGAAAAATTGTCTTGCCTGGTCATATCCTTTGCACCACAGGGCATCTGTACAGTAGAATACACTGTAAAAGAATTCCTCATAAATTGTTTCTGCCTGGGGCCTATTTGCCAAAGAGCTCCAGATACTATACAAAACATAATATGTAAACAATGGTTTAAAAACACAGTTCTGTCACTGAGGACAGAGATCAAGTTGGGGTTTGTTCTTGGGTGCACTCAGTTTTGGGCAGTTGAGTTGTGGAAAGTTTCTTCCACGTCTATGTATCTAAGGCAAACTATTCCACAATAGTGTTATTTTTAGGCTGCAAAACTTGTTGATGTGAATAGTCCTAATGTAACACATGAGTACCTAATTTCTTGTGCTGAGTGATTATTTCTCTTATTAGGGAATACATTAAATACCTTCCAGGATCTTATTCATAGGTATCTTATTTCTAATGGGACCTACCACCACAGTCAGCAGGAATATCCAGTCTCTGCTGCTGCTCTTCCTCCTCCAGGAATTTCCAACTTCAGCTTGATATTCAGTAGGGTCTGGTAGTCTTACAGATACGTGGACAAATGAGTCTTGGTCTCTAGTAGCTCACATTCTAGCTAGACAATGATTTCCTGAAGCCCAGCCACCTTCTCCAGGTGATGAGCCTCTTTCTCTTCAAATTGTTTCTCCAGAGCTTCATTCTGGGCCCTCAGAGCATCAATGTGGTTTTCCAGGTCAGTTACCTGAAAAGAATACTTGTTGATCTCTCATGATCTTAATATTCTTTTCATAGTTGGAAGCTTGACTCTTAAGAGTGTCATACTTTGCTTTATACCATTTCTCTGCTTCAGGGTTGGTTGTGGCAGCCAGCCCAAATCAAGGAGCTCTGATGTCATGCAGGGCAGCAGCATGGTCTGGGAAGTTGGACTCCAGGTCTACAGAGAGTTTGGATCCCTGGATCTATTTCTGAAGGTCAGTGATCTCTTCCTCATGAAGTTTCTTAAGAAATGCTGTCTCATCCACCAACAGCTGCACTCTTCTCTCCAGGTCAAGCTTCTGCACTGTGCATTGTCTACGTCCTGACAGAACTCTGTCAGGGTCCTGTTAGCCTTATCTGTTATGGAAGATATTTGTGTAATATGTAAATTGCAACCTGTCTTAAGTGACAGACTGTTATTCACTTACCACAAGGTCAACTGATTTTAGTTTTGTAACTTAGTGTGAGAGACTCCAGGGAGGAAAATCACAAAGTTACAACTAATCTTTCCCTTTGTTCAGCTGTATGTTCATCCCTCAAAGTCAACCCATCCCAGAAAATAAATAAATGTTTTGTTACACATTGAGATTGGAGTTCATAAGGTGTGTGTTCCATTCATCAGAAGGACTTTTCTAGTCTGATATTAGCCACCACACACATATGGAGGCCATAGACAACAGCAACAGATCAAACCCCTTTGAGCTGGAGATAATGCTTGAAATCAGTTTTGATCCTATGCACCACATTATCATTTATCACAGTGTCTAAAAGTTTGCTGCCTAAACCTGAGTAGTCTATTATTACATTAGGATCCAGGGCCAGATTTTGAAGGCGATTACTGTGGAATATATAGACAACTTCTACGGACATTGACGGAATTATTCAGTGTTTGGACCCCTTTATTCCACTTAAATAAACACAAGGAATCAAAGGTGTTAACATGACCCTGAAATTGTCCAACATTAAACAGTAGCAATCCCATTTTCGAGAAAACAAAACAGATCAAACACACACAAAAGAAAAGAACAGCGAAGGTAGAAAATGCAGTTTCTGTTTCTGGTGTTGACTCTTACTTGCAACCTTGCTGCTGGAGACACAGGCACAGCATAGTCTTATCAGCCATTCTGGGTCCATTCACACAGGGGGGGGAAAAAAAAAAAAGGCAAAACCCAGAACCAATCTCAGCCCCAGTCAACTGACTGAGGCTCATAGGGCTCACACCGTGGGGCTAAAAATAGCCGTGTAGATATCTGGGCTCTGGCTAGAGTCTAGGTTTCAGCAAACACCTACACAGCTATTTTTAGCCCCATAGTGTAAGCCCAAGTCAGTTGACCTGTGCTCTGAGACTTGCTGCCACAGGTCTTTTTGTTGTTTTGTTTTGTTTTGTTGGCAAACTTGTACCAAGATCAACTGTGGAGATGTGAGGAAAGAAGGCAGAAATATAGGAAGTAAGTGTGGGGGAGAGAGAAGTTACTAAAGGGAAGCAGGAGGAGCTGCTGAGAGACAGTGAGAAAAGAAAAGGTTTCTGAGGAAAAGCAGGAGGGGCTGTTCATAGAGTTGGAGGAACCGCTGGGGGAGGACTTTTATGAGTCAGAGTTTGGCAGCCTCACTGGATTCGGTTGTGAAGCATGTAAATATTCATTCAGCAGGGACTACATTTGGATTAGGTTAGCGGCTAGCGCTGTGGCAGAAAGCAATTCTATCACAGTATGAACAGTGCTGAGAACTGCAGATTAGACCAGAGTTAAGACTGAGGCAGCAAACAATAGAAGGAAGGAAGCGCACAGTTAAAGAGGGGACACACTTGCAGAACCAGAACATTTCTATGGAGAGCAGTTTACTGGGACAGACATTTTGTGTGGTACCTTTGATATTACAATAATTCTGGGTGAATAAGAGATTTCTCCTCTCCGATCCAGCGTCTCCTTTTGCCTGCTTCTACAGAAAACTCCTAAGATTTTGTGACATCATCTTGTCACTATGTGAATGCAGGATGTTTCTGGCCAGATTCTGAATTTGAATGCGTTCGTTTCAATGGCAGCCCCATGCACAGAGGAAAGAATACACTTTGGTGAAGTGACTTCACTTTAGGATCAAAGAGGAAGCAAAAATGGGATGAATGGCTCAAGTCCTTCTTAAAATTCAAATATATTTGATAAGTGGGGAAAAAGCACATTGGATAGCTATGAAACGTGTGCAAGTAGAATATATGTTTACGTGCTCCATGCTGTGAAACCTGCTCCCCTATGCAATTTTTGTGCTTTATGCTTAGCAGAGGTTAGCGAGGGACAAATATTCCCCTCCCACACACCACATAAGCTATGGAGCAACAGCAGAATTGTTCTGTGGTCATTATTGCAAACTGACAGTACAACAGGACCCATAGACCCTGCACTCCTTTGCTAACATTTTAACAGAACTAGATGAGACCGCGGTCAAAATGTCTACTCCTGATCTACAGCAGAACTTATATTATTGATAGTACTGATGCAGCTACTCTTTTGTTTAAAAAAATGGGAAAGGGATGACCTACTGTACATCAACCCTCTGCCTACTCTTTTGGGTTGGGGGGGTTGTGCTGCAGCCAATGCAGAGAGTTTCATATTCAGCTGTGAACTGCCTTGTTTTTCTTATTTTCTGTTGCAAGATTAATGTTCCCCAGTGTAGTTCATTTTGAGTGATTATTTGCATACATGTCAGTGAAGTCCTTCAGTGAGATTCCTGTGATGGCTGCCAGAATCTGACTCACCACAATCACACTTAATTCTCCATGATAGTCCTCATTTAAGGTCTCAGAGCTTTTTTAACTAAAAAGTTTAATTCTTAGAACAGCCTCTTACTGGCAAGTGTGTGACAGTGACAGGAATAGAACCCTGTAGTCCTGACCTCCATCCAAGAGTGTAAACGCTATTGTATTATCAGAGCTCAGCAAACATGGGCAGAAATTGAAACAACCAATGTGTATTTAGGGTCTTTTTTAGAATACAATTCTATTCTATCTAGGTTTTTATACCGAATTATCATCATAGTATCTGAATACCTGTGGCAGTGAGGCCAGATTTTGTGCTAGAGTGAAGCTATTTATTTATTTATTTATTTTTATACACAAAATGTTTCCTTCAAAAAATTAACATTTGAGTTGTTAGCGCAGATGGTAGGAAATTCTCATGTGCTTGTTCTGGAGTTCCTCTGAAATAATGAAATATTCAAGGAGAATGTTGAATGGAGTGGTCAGGACTTAAGAAAAGCCACTGTAGGATATAGGGTGGGTTGGTTCTGAACAAGGTCAGGAGTTCCAGGGCTGTAGGAACAGAGGCAGTGGTGAGAGCAGGAGAACAGGACTGCGGATTAGATTGGTTTGGAGGTTTATTAAGCCAATAGCAAACGGGGTCACAAGTAGGATCATGTCTCCTTACCTTGCTACCCCAGGCAACACACTTGCAATGATACAAAATTCAAATTCCACTGAATCATTTGGATTCTGATTAGATTTCTGTGAAGAGGGTCTTTGAACTGGATTAGTTCAAACTGAACACTCCATTGAAATGAATAAGGGAAATTCATGTCTTGGGGCTTGGTCCTGAAATCAGCTGCCAGGCTCCCATTTGACTGGAAACCATTGGTCATCAGTTTATATTTTCAAGGTTCATTGCAGCTAGAAAGGCTATAAATATATTTTAAATTAAAGTTTATTTTATTCTGTAGAATTATTCTACACAATACCCCTAATTCTCCAATAACCTTGAAGGACCTTGTTTCCTTGTGCTCCCCATTTACCTGTCTGTATCCATATTTCTCTTGTCTTTAAGTGTCAGCTTTTTGGGGCTGGGACCATCTTTTTGTTCTGCATCTGTACATTGCCTGGTACAATGGGGTACCGGTCAATGACTGGGGTCTTAGGAGCTAACCCAATACAAATAATAAATAACAATAATAAGGAACCATGTCCATGATCAATAGCTGGTGTGCAAGTCCACTCCTTTTTCTTTCACACACTGGACTGGGTAATGAACCACTCATCTAAACAACTGAATCTCAAGACGCTGTGTGAGACCCTGATATCCTGACAGATTAATCCTGATGTTTAGACCAACTCCTCCAAAGCTAATCTGCTGGGGAATAAATGCCGGGCATACGGTTGTTGGGAGAATGTAAAGTACTTCCCAAAGTTCTGATGGGCATAAATCCAGACCACAGATGGTATTATATTGCCTTTGAAGAGAACAAAAATCCTTTCAAAGGCTATACAGCTAGACTTTATTTAGATTTAGACTTCCACTTTGTGCCTGGGTCCCTTCTTATTTAAAATCGGCCATGCTATGAGAAAGCATTATAAGCCTATTCATAATTGCACACTTACAGTTTGATTTTGGCAGGCCAAATACTATAGCTGGATTTTATGAAGGATTAAAAAGGCTGGTGTAGATAGCCTATTCAAACCCTCTCAGTCTGAAATGGAGCAATAACTTAACATTTTCAAAGAAGGGAGCATATTATGACAGGTGCTTACTGGTCTTTCACAAGGACCTTTTTATGTTTCTACTGGTGTCCGTCAGCCTCTGAGAGAGATTGGTTTATCAAAGCCACAACTAACTGCTGCTATGTAGCAAACTCATAGCACAGCAAGTTGTGTAGCAATCAGTGATCCACAGTTCCTTTCTTCTCAAAGGAAACTGTCAATCATAAACATTTCTGTTTGCGTCCTTTACTACTACTGCTGCATTGGGTGGGATGAGGTAAAATGGGGCCGAGTTGGGGCTGCCCTCTGATCCAGCACTCTTCAGACCCAGAACTGTGTAGGGGAGACCTGCTCTGGGATACCAGAAACCATATGATATACCACCTTCTCCCCTGCCATGTGGCCTTTTGGAAAGACACTGCCTGAAGCTGGCACAGCAGGTGAAGAAAGCAGTGCAAGCAGGTTCCAATGGACCTGGTGATATCATCAGGGTGCTTTCTGCAACGTTAACTCAGAACACTCTCTCACGCCTGTGCTGCTTGGCAGTTTACTCCAGTCCTTCCTGTCTCCTCCTCCACAGTCTCCAGTCCCCTCCTTTCCTTCCCCCTTTCCAGCTAATCCCCTCCTGACATAACCACACTGAAAGAATTTAAATAACCAAACCAACCAACATGACATTTGGAGCTTAGTCCTGGATTTATGAGCCTATTGAGCCATCACATTGTTCATATTGCTTGTATGGTCTATCCATTTCTCCTACCTTGAATCCGTCTTGTCTAGTTAGAAGGTAAGATTTGGGGGCAGAGGCTGTCTCTTATTGTCCCTAGCACAATAAGGCTCTATTCTTGGTTGACCCCTAAGCTCTACTGTAATAAGTATGATGAACAATGAAAAATAATTGATCACGTCCATAGGCATTTAAAATATAATTTCTTATCTTTTACCTTACAGGCCACAACTTCCCTCCTTTTGTTGAGGATTTTGGCAAACTTTGGGGAACCAGGATGGTGACATCATAACTTGAGGCTGAAACCTGAGCTACAGCTCTCCAAATGCCCAGCTGATGGGCAGAGGGGATGCTGTGTGGGGAAGGTGTTTGTCTAAAACGGAGCATTCTCTTCATATCGTTTAGGGCAGTGATACGCAGACCTCACCAGTTCAGGAGCCAAATTGGCGATCAACATTACCCAAAAGAGCCACAGTTGTGTGACTTCATTGTTTCATTTACTATAATACTATTCATATTTAAACAGTATGACGGGAAATATTTAGTTTATAATATATATTATTCTCACAGCATATATGTTAATAACTTAGTGCAAATCGATAACTTAATTGGGTAATAACATAGTAAAAGCATCCTGATCGGTTAATAATGTTAATATCATGTGCTGCAAAGAGTTGCAGGAGACACATTAAAGAGGCACTTGTGGTTCAGGTGCCTCAGTCTGAGTATCACTGATTTAGGGGCTAGGAAATATGTAGTTCAGGTACCAATTGCAAGTTATGATGTCTCCATTCAAATACAGATAAACAGAATGCAACTCAGGATCTACTTCACTGTGCTGCTGCTATTGCTGTTTTCTTTAAAATAAATCATGTGTTAAAACTTGTCAGTCAAAAATAATAATTAAAAAAATCTTTAAGAACATGCTAAATTTACATTGTTACTATCAAATCAAAATTTCTTGCTGCTGGTTTTTCACATGTTGCTAACTTACACTTTTCTTTTCTCTTATTTTTAAACAAGTCGCATTTCTGCAAGATTTGTGCTACGTAACTTTCCTGTGTCCTATGGGCTGAGTGATGGACCAATACAATTTTCATTTACTTGTGGGAAACTCAGTTTGACATGGAGGTACAAAAGTGCTTCTGAAAAGAGAATGGGGAATTCTGAAACCTCTGCTGAGAAACAAAAGCAGAAACTAATCTGGGGTGTGGCAGAAAGCCCAATTTTTCTTGGTCTGAAGATCACAAAGTGCTTTGCCAATATTAATGAATTGAATTTTATAGCATCCTAAGGTAGGTATTATCCTCATTTTGCAAATAGGAGACACTGAGACACACAGAGAGTAAGTGACTTGCCAAAGGTCACACAGGAAGTCTGAGGCAGAACTGAAAATAGAATCCAGGAGCCTTACTTTCAGTCTTGTGCTTTAACCACATGACCATCCATAATCTAATTGTACAAGCCACTATTCAAATACCAAATGAGACACAGCATTTATATGAATGGGCAAGGGGGTAAGATGTTCGGTCAGACTAGGAGAGTGGACCACTGCAGTGGTGCCGAAGTTTGGTAACAATATGTACTGATGGGGAACAGGCTGAGTGAACTGGCTGTGGCAGTATAGATATGAAAAATTATGTTCCAAAATTCTCTCACTTTCCTAGACATTAATTATATGTAAATATATGTAACCCTGAAATATACACTGAGCCAGATCAGGGCCGGCTCCAGGGTTTTGGCCGCCCCAAGCAGCCAAAAAAAAAAAAGAAAAGCCGCGATCGCGATCTGCAGCGGCAATTTGGCTGGAGGTCCTTCGCTCCGAGCCGGAGTGAGGGACTGTCTGCCGAATTGCTGCCGAATAGCTGGACCTGCCGCCCCTCTCTGGAGTGGCCGCCCCAAGCACCTGCTTGCCAAGCTGGTGCCTGGAGCCGGCCCTGGGCCAGATCTTCAGCTGATGTAAACCAGCACAGCTCCAGTGAGTGAAGTCAATTCAGCTATGCTGTATTACACCATCTGAGTATCTGCCCTAACTCAGCCACCTTAATTTTATTTCTTTTCCTTGTGATTTTCTGTCAGAAGAATCCACACATTTCAACATCCAGAGTTTATTTGTAAGAGATTAAACTTTTTCTTAATAAAAATAAGCATGGGCGCACACTAAAAAGTCACATTCTGTTAGCCTTGATTACACTAGGGAAATTTTGCAAATATTTCCTGCTGAAGCTAACACTGTAGCAACAGAAGGGCTTGTGTAGGTAGGAGGCTGCTATTTTATGTACTGTGTCTTAACCACTAACACTAGCATCAGCCAGTGACCTATTTATACCAGGGCTTCCAAGATTGCTACTAGTGTTGGAGCTGAACTGCTGGGCAACAAAGGGAAATGTTTGCAAACTTTCCCTAATGTAGACAAGACTACTGCAAGAGAGAAGTGTGTCTGAGCACAGAATTAGGAGTCAGAAACTTCTGTTTGTATTCCAGCTCTAATACTAACTCTATGGCCTTGAGGATACCAACTTCTGCCTCCGTTTTTCCTGCTGTAAAAAGGAGATAAAATGATGACCTCACAGGGATTTTATACTATCAGTGGTTTTCATAGGATCTGCATTACATTTGGCATCTATAACACAGATGTTTGTACAGTTGACGTTGTATGACAACCCTAATATTCTCAGTGAGGAGTCATAGGTGAAAAATAAAAACATTTCCTTTTAGATACGGATGTAATCTCAACATTTTTTAACCAAGATCTGGATGTTGAAATGTTTGGTCAACATTAACCTTAGATTAGAGCTAAAGTCTCAAGCTTAAGGTAGGGCAGTTTACCTGGCTGTCTCAGGGGAGGAGCAGTTAACAGGCTGAGGCAGTTTGTGGGACTGTCTTGAGTTTGGGGGCCAGTTTGGGGGATGTCTTGGGTTTGGCTGGTCAGTTAACAGACTGAGGCAGTTTGTGGGACTGTCTTGAGTTTGGGGGCCAGTTTGGGAGATGTCTTGGGTTTGACTGGTGAGTTAACAGGCTGGGGCAGTTTGTGGGGCGTCTTAGTTTTTTTTGGGGGGGGGGGGATTATCTAAATGAGGCGGGGGCTCTAAAAAAGAGCTGCTGAGAGGGACTTTACACACTGCCAACTCGTTCCTCGGCAGAGCGGGCAACTCTCCCATTAAATGAATTCTCCTCTGCGGGCGTTTCCCTCCCGGGGAGTGAGGCTGGGGGCACAGTGGCACCCCCAGAAGCTGTTCTCTTCCCCCTTGGCAGGACTCAGCCCAGCAGCAGCAGCCCGGAAGAGGAAGCGCCGCGGCCGTGTGGAGCGCTCTTCAGCTGTTGGGAAGCAGAGGTGGCGCTGGTCCCTGTGCACCGGGCAGCTTGCGGCGCCCCCTCCCTTCCCCGGCCAGCATCGCGCGGGGGAGGAGCGCGCCTGGGCGAGGTGAGCTAAGGAAGGTGCAGATGGACGCGGACAGGTGAGGGCTTTGTGCCGGGGGAAGGGGCTGGGGGAGGATCGGTGCTGGGCATAGTGAGCAGGATGCGGGGCTGTCTCCGATGGGGGGACAGTTTGCAGGGGATATGTGTGGGGGTGTGTCCCGGACATGGGGTGGCTACAGCTCACACCTGGGGACAGGGGGCAGTGACTAGTACGTCAGTCTCCAGCACCCCAAGCCAGAATAATGTCCCCCTAAGTGAAGCTTTGGTCTCTGCGTCTCATTCAAACTCCCCTCCCCGCCTCCCCCTTCGCTCGTGTGTCTCTAGTCACGCTGGGGCTCAGAGGAGGTTAAGTAGTTTGTGAAACTGGCCCTGCTGCTCTTTCTCTCTCCAGAATCAAACCCAGTCTCTTAATGAGTCACAAAAGCCTTCTCCAGACTGGCAGACCAATCCCGAGGTGGGAAATCCGGGGTTTCCTCCTCCAGCAGAAGCCCAGCAAGGCAAGGAGCTGTGGGGTTGAGGCTGGCCGCTGGCAAATGACTAAGGCCCTAGGTGTGAGTTATGGACCGGGTCAGCTTCCAAGTCAGTTCTTTTATTGGAACCGGGAGGCTGGTGTCCCTGGCCGGGACTGAATACGTGTAATGAGGGCTGGAAAGGGAAGGAGGAAGCAAGTAACAAAGAGGGGAAGACACAGGGGATTTGTGGAGGAAACTCAAAGAGGGAGAGGTTCAGGTGTCTGGACACAAACTTGTTCCAGTAAGTGAAGAGATTTCTGTCACAGTTCTTGAGGGAATTGCACCTCTGACTCCTTCATGGGGGCTGCCCTCTGAGATCTCAGACCTCTAGCCATCACCTTTCTTCGGGCAACATCCTGCAATCTGTTCCCTCCAGACGTGGGACTCAGCTGCAGTTCCTCCTGCTTCACTGTGATTCTCTCAGAGGTCTGACTTCAGTTCAGCACCCACACTTCTGTTCTCTCAGGGGACAATAATAGGGTTAACCAGTGACCAGCCTACTCTCATAAAGTAAAGTATTGTTTATTTAGAACAAAGGCATTATAGAGGAAGCATATCTTAAAGAAAAGAAAAAGTTTATAGGCATGCCTAGCTTATCAGGTGTCACCCATCTTCCCCATGGAGACACTGGCAGGTTCCAAAGTACTTCAGGTCCTGCACAGGATCTGTGCCCCTTGGTCACAATCTCATGTCCATTTGTGGATCAAGGGTGACTGACCTCTCTCCCCGGTGAGAGTTGTTTCTTTATACAGTTTTCAGTTCTTTGTTTGCCAGGCCTCTTGAACCAGGTCAAACCACTATATGCTCTTTCCCCAGGGGGTAAAACTTCCACAGACTTCTTACCTGCATAAGAGATTTGCATTAATTACCCCCAGTGCTGTAAGTAGGCATATTGGTGCCCGGGGTGAGCAACTATATTTGCGTCCTCTACCATTTTTTTTTCATTTTTCCACCCAGAGGTGACACGTGGGGGGCTGAGGGGGGAAATGCATGGTCACATGCCTCTCCCCCCAAGATTTTTTGGTTGCGCGCCCCCCCCCAACCCAGACAGGCTGGGTGGTCTGCTGAGATGAGTCAGAGGGTGGAGGTGGTGTCCCCTCCCCCCCGCCGACCAAGCCCTCGCCACGCCTCTATTTGCGCCCTGGGAAGATGCCCTGGTTATGGCTCTGATTATCCCTCAGTGATTTGAGTTCCTGCATTGAGCCAGAAATGCAATCACCAGCTAGCCCATAAAGATACATATAACATTTATAAAGCTGATACAATTGTCTTTGACTATTCCATGTGTTCATAGTATCTGTCACATCTCAGCATAATAGTTTTTGAATGTTCCATGCTTCCAGAGCATTGCATCTGTCACTATTTCCTTGAACTAAAATATTCCCTAGTATAGAATGGCCATTGCAGGAAGCAAGGTGGGCTGCCATGGCAGAGATGCGGTGTTGCTTGTATTGAATGAAGAAGGGTGGTTATGTATTATGAAGTGCAGTTTGGCTTGCTTGCTGGAGAAGAAGGCGAAGGCCTGCACAACAACCTCTCCTGACCACTAACCAGAGAAGAATGAGAATGGAAAAATTCCTGGCCCAAGTGTCAAGGCCAAAACTAATGCTCACAGTTGACTTCAACTACCCAGATATCTTTTAGATAAATAAATAATCAGGGCTCCTGATTTTTGGTTTTATGTGATAAACATCTCTGATTTAAAAAAAAAATTGAAAGTGGTATTTATCCAATAAACACGAGAAATGGTTACTTGTATCTAAGGGCTTGTCTTCGCAGAGTAGTATGTGGACTGCAAGGGTATGATTTCTAAAGTGCACTAATGTGGCATATTAATTAGTCCATGTAAACACTGCTGGCGTTCCCTAAAGTGTAGTAGTATTTGAAACAATGCTAAATTAAAGTGCACTAAAGAACATTACAAAGAAGTTACTCATTACAATATATACTTTACTTGTTACATTATATTCAAAGAGCCATAAATCCTATGATTTTTTGGACCGCTACACAAAATTCAAAAGTTGCTAATAAAAAACCCAGAAAAACAGAGGCCCTACAACTAATGCTAAATGTTTATAATTAGAGTGACTTGCAATTAAAAAAAAAAGTGTCATATACTCTTATACAAAAAGAAAAAACCCGTTACATGCAGTAGTAGGTTCAGTTGCATTCTGGCAACAATTGTTGTTAATAAATGGATTGTAAGTGTCCTCCTCTTTTGTTTATCGGAGAATGTTAGTTCTTTAATAGTTTAGCTGCAATAATCAATAACGCAATACTAAAGAATTGTAGTGAAAAGATCTATCTGTGAACACAAATAGTTTTAAGATCTCCAGTGAGTGTTACTTGGTTTAGCACAATTTTATATCCCCAGTGGTTTGTACCTGGAATACAAAGTATATCTTTAATATAGAACTTATGCCAGAAATTATTCAGTGGGCCTGATCCTGAGCAATGGAAGTCAATAGTAGTTTGGCTATTAATTGAAGGAGGATAAAGAGGTAGTTTTCCCCATTTTTACTGCTTGATCCAGTAAACACAGAATCAGATTTTAAATTTGTTTTGTTTTTTTGGGTTGTCGGGACCTTGGGAGGGAAGATTGTTATGTGAAGTGTAGAGAAATTGTGCTGCAGTGTTTTGACAATATCATGGATAAAAATATATTTTTTAAAAAAGGATATATCAATTTAACAATGTTTCTTATTTAAAGTAAATACATTTTTCTTTTAAAAAATTAACCTATTTTAAAATTAAATTTGAAATTGTGGCAGCCTATGGTAAGGCCTAAACATACTATAATCCATTAAACTCACTAAAATAAAAATAATAAAATGCTGCATCAATGATGCCTCCTAAAATTTTAAAGATATTAAAAGGGGCTGCATTTTTAACTATGTACAGAATCAAGGGGAATATCTTTAACTTTACAGAATCAGAGGAAGCATATTTAATTTTTCAGGTCAACTCAAGCTTTAAATGTGTCACAATGTCATGAACTTTATTAAATGTCTATGTTATTTTCAGCCTTTACAATTGAATGAATGATGGTATTCGCATTTTCACAAATGTGAGTACTTTCAATTTCTGTTGTGCAGGAAAGCTTCTGCCTTAATTGTGTTTGATTTCAATTTAGCTAGCAGGTGCAGAGAGAATATTTTCTTCATTTGGATCAGTTTAGTCAAAGTTGAAAACCTGATTGGGAGTTGAAATAGCTGGAAAGATTTTTTCCCCCCTCTTCTAACCTATGAAGAAAACCAGGTGGGAGAGGATGAGATCTATTAATTCTAATATCTTGAAGGACATGCGGTCAGATATTCAAAGGTATCTAGGTGTCTAAAGATGCCAATAGGCACCTAGTGCTTTGGTACTCTTGAAAATCCTACTTGGGGCCTATCTGTATCTAAATACCTTTTAAAAATCTGGTCCATAGTTACCAGAAACAATCCGTCAATTCACTAACTTCAGTTAATACTATATTTATTTAATAAATAATTTTAAATGCAAAACATGTTATGATACATTTTAATTTTTTTATGTATTCAGCACATTTAAGCAAGTGTAATTTAACTAATAAAAACAATTTTGAAATGCTGCTGTTGTACATTTTTATTGAATCCCAATTTTCATCCAAATGCGGCTTGACACAAATCCCAAATAAAAAAATTATCATCTAGTAAATAAGAAATGCATTAGTCACCATTTTCTAATATGAAAAAGTAAAAATTAAAAATCTGAATAAATATAAATATTAAGAATATGAATAAATGTAAGAGAAACTATATAATTGCTTAAATGAATGTATATAGATGCACAATATCTTCCTAGTTACCAAAAAGAAGTGCCAAATTTAGTGTAAAGACTATATTTGTTTGCAAATCAACGTATTTAAATGGTTATACCAACCAATGAGAATGAAACTTTCTTTAGGGAAATAACTAAAGTACAAATACAAAACAAGTTTAAAAACAATTATTTAAATTAATGTTTCATGCTTGCTGATTTAAAACACTTTAATTTAAATCACTCCACCTTGTTTGACAAACTGCTAACTTTTTGTAATATATCACAGACAGACATATAGACAGACTGTAAACTCATTAGGACATGGACAATCTTCTGTGTTTGTATAGTACCAAGCATAATGGGGCCCCAACCCTGGCTGGGGTCTTTAGGTGCTCCCAGAATACAAATAATAAAAATATTTTGCTGATAGTTATGCTAGCAGTACAAGAAATTAAAATAAGATCCTTGTAAAGGGTCAGCTGCCTTGCAGTTATGCCCCTCCTATGGTTTTGTATAGATTTAAAGACATATTAGTAATTTCAAATTGAACTTTGTTTTACAGTGTTTCTTGAGTTGCCATTGCTGAGCAAAACACCCTCCCTGAAGTGGTCAGCGAGTCACGCTGTTGTAGGTGTTTATACAGCACTAATCACTGTAGTATCTACTGTAGACATAAACACTGTTAGTTACCTGCCTGAGGAGACATTTCCATTCCATGATTATACTTTAATGCTGGATTGGAAACATTTTTACAAAATAAATAAGTCCAGAAAAATTGTTTGTATTTAAACATGAAAGAGGTATAGTTAATGAGACTTAGCACTTGTATCCTGTTAAGACACAGATTCATTTAGCTGGGACTGATTGTACTGAGTGCTTGAAGTTTTCCTTTGAACAGTGGTTCCTTGCCATCATGCTCCACTTTTACCAGAACAAATGATCTGAGTGACTAAGGTCCAGGAATTGTGAGGCCGGGGGCCTGTTCTGTTTTGCAAAACAGCCCTCTCCCTAGTGAACCAGGATTCTAATCTAGCAATTGCTATATGGTTGCACTGGGGGAAATGGAGTAAAAATGAGTCAGCAAGTTCTTCCCCTTTGGGTGAAATAACCTCAGTGCCTGAAATGCTTCAGAGTGAGTGCTGTTATGCTGTTTCAGAAGTGCGACGCCTGACAACATGGCCATGAGAACGGGGGAAAGTAGCTGCCCCACCAAAGGCAAGTCAGAGGCTGAAGATGGCTCCGGTCGGGTGATCACCATTGTCTTCCTGGCACTCCTTATAGACCTGCTGGGATTCACTCTTATTTTGCCACTCCTTCCTTCAATCCTTGAGTATTACAGCAAGAATGATGTAAGTAAGAACTAAACTCTACCTGCTGAAAATACAGTCTGGGCATGAGGCAATTTGAAGAATGGGATGCAGAGGGAGGGGAGATAATATATGGAGATATACCTATCTCATAGAGCTGGAAGGGACCCTGAAAGGTCATTGAGTCGAGTCCAGCCCCCTGCTTTCACTAGCAGGATCAAGTACTGACTTTTGCCTCAGATCCCTAAGTGGCCTCCTCAAGGATTGAACTCACAACCCTGGGATTAGTAGGCCAATGCTCAAAGCACTGAGCTATCCCTCCCCCTACGTGAGGGGTGCCTGTTCCCCTGATACAGCTCAAAAGCTATATGCAGACTAAAACCCACCCGCAAGTCTGGAGTGTATTTAGATTGTTCTTATGGATTTGATTGATTTGTTTGCTCTGCCTAGTAAGACTTTCTCACCTTTGCCACTGAGTTGGGGTCAGGTGTTTATGTTTGGGGAAATCCAGAGATTACTGAGTGGCTACTTCTTGTAATTGTCCTGAATTTGCCCTCCGCCTTGCTGTTCTTTTACTCACTTGTGGCTGTGGCTGCCTGGTCTCCAGCGATGAGTAGTCAGATGAGAGGTTTCCTCTAACGCAGGGCTTCCTGCTGCTGTGTGGCTCAGCCAGCCGAGAGAATCTCCATGAGCCGTGAAGCCCTGGTCTCTTGGTAACAGAGTCTGCAGTCTCTGTTCTGTCTCTCCTGGCTGTGTGAGTGAGGGGGCCAGAACTGTGTCTCAAGATCTGTAAGGTAGAAGGAGCTTTACTTTGGTTTCTTAGGTCTACACTACGGGGGGGGTCGACCTAAGATACGCAACTTCAGCTACGTGAATAGTGTAGCTGAAGTTGCGTATTTTAGGTCGACTTACCTGGCTGTGAGGACGGCGGCGCATCGACCGCGGCTGCGCCGCCGTCGACTCCGCTTCCGCCTCTTGCCGCGGTGGATTTCCGGAGTCGACGGCAGAGCGATCAGGGATTGATTTTATCACGTCTTCACTAGACGCGATAAGTCGATCCCCAATAGATCGATTGCTACCCGCCGATCCGGCGGGTAGTGAAGACGTGCCCTTAACTCAGTCTTAAAAGTCCTTTACAACACAAGCCCATCAAGGGTTCCTCATCCGTCTCTTGCGAGCTGTCTGGCTGACTTGCCATTTCTCTCTCAGCTATTCTCTCTTCCCCGATGTTCAAATCTATTTACATGACTACTCAATTACCAGTGCCAGCAACTAGGTTGTAATGGAAAATATTTAATTCTTTGTTGGCAGTAGGTTTTATGGGTAAGTAGATGCCTCTTATTAAAGCAATACACAGAGCTAGCTCTCTGGTGATCTGTTTTTGAGATAGTCCCCCCACATCATTCTATCATTGCCTTAAGCCTTCTTATTCTATCTCCATCACTCTAATTCCCTTTCCTGTGGCCGCCCTCTTACCCTGCGCTGTTTGGGTGGAGATGGGACATATGCCCTGGTCCCCAAGCATTTACGCACTTATGATCAGCAGGAGGGAGAAGTCCCCACTACTGGGTCTTCTTCAGAGCAGATTAGCAGAAAGCACACTGATGGAGCAATGAGCAGCTGGATACAGCTAGAAAAATGCCAGTCAGCATGCTACTGAGGTAGTACTGAACCCCATGATTCCATGTCAAATTTGGTACTGTTCATGTAAACTGGGGACCCTCTTGAAGCTTTGCTTCCCCCTGACCCTCACTCCAAAGGCAGGATTCATGAACCCCAAAAGCCATATATGGCTAGACAGTCTGTACCTGTCAAAAACCAGCACCTTGACTGACAGAGTCATGAAGAAACATGTCACAGATGCACAGAATCTGTGCTACACCCCAGCTTTTAAACAGTCTCTTGGAAAAACTCCTTCAGCATGGCTGACCCCCAGGAGTCCCACTTTTCCTTCAGGGAAGGTCCTGCAGTCTTACTGCCTCCTAGACTGTAGCCTCTGGGCTACAGCACTCCTGCTTTATACTGAGCTCTGCCCAGTGAGTGCAATTGAAATAGACTTGTGCACTCTTCAGGGACTAATGCACCCTTGCAAGTATTTGCAGTGACACCTAAGCAGCATTTTCAAAACAGGATAGGAGTTATTAGTCAACTGGAACATAGCACTGGAAGTCCTTCAGTTATCATGGAGAAATAAAGGTTAAAGCATAGTTCATTCTGATCAAGCCAGAGCAATTCACCAGGCCAAGCTGTAGTGAACTCCATTTTCTAGCTTGCTCTCTCTCATTTCCTTACTCAGTCCCAGTAGAGAGCCCACCTCCTCCAGAAGCAGAAGCCCACACTAATCCTCTGTCTGTCTTTTGTTCTCAAGCTGAGGTCTCTGCTCAGCTTCTCTGCTGAGAATGTCAATTCATGAGTCATTGGTGCTTTACTCCTGTGGGGAATTCTGCACCAAAAAATTAAAAATTCTGCCCACAATATTTTAAAATTCTGCAAAAATCTGCATATTTTGTCAAAATAACACAGTCATGCCAGTTTCAATTATTTTGGTAATCTATTTCAAAATACCTGTCAACAAGTATGTCTGTAACAATACAGACAACAAAAAAGATTCAGGAAATGTTTTTTGACAAATAGATTCTTTACTAGGCATATTTTTTTCATATAAAACTTAGAGTAATAATTCATTTAAACTACAATATAGAAACATATTTCCTGCATCCCTCGGAAGCAGTGCAAAGGCTTGGGGGAGTACAGGGTAATGGAAGAGCTGAGGGAAAGGGAAATAATTTCTGGGAAGGCACCTGGGGAGTTGGGGAATCTTCCCCATGCAGACTCTGTCTGATTCCTGGCCTCTCCCAATCAGTCAGGCACATCTGTTCCTGTCCCCATGTATCGTTGCACTCCCACTCAGCTACCCCCTGTCCCTTTTTCCCCATGTTTCCCTGAACCCCCACTCAGCCACCCCTCGTCTTCCTGCCCCCATTTGTCCCTGCTCCCCCTGCCCTCCATCCCCATGTGTCCCTGCACCCCCACTCAGCCCCCCCTTCCCCATGTGGCCCTGCACTCCCATTCAGCTACCCCTCCCCCATCCCTATGTATCCCTGCACCCCCCGCCCCCAGTGTCCCTGCACCCCTATTCAGCCACCCCATTCCCTGTCCCCATGTGTCCCTGAACCCCCCCTCCCCATTCACCGGTCCCCATGTTTCCCTGAACCACCTCTCAGCCACCCCACCCCCCATCCCCATGTTTCTCTGCGCCCCCACTGAGCCACCCCTGCCCCCATGTGGTCCTGCAGTCCTCGTCCCCCATCCCCATGTGGCCCTGCATGCCCACTCCCATTCAGTCCCCACTCCAGTCTGTCCACCCCACTAGCCCTTCTGAACCCCAGTCTTATCTGACCCGCAGCAGCCTTGTGTGCCCCGCTCTGTCTGTTCCCCCCCATCCCGTGCCTTCTTACCTGGCCCCACGGGCAGGGTGCTGTAAGGGACACAGCCTCTGCTCTCTCCCTATCAGATGCTGACTGCTTTGGATGGTAAGCAGTGAGCCAGCTGCCTCTGTTCTGGCACCACCACAGCCCCTGCTAGCCGAAAGGCATAACTGCAGAGCCTCTTCAGCAGAATGTATTTTCTGTGGAGAAAAAAAAATTCTGTGGGACACATGAATTCTGCGCTTGTGCAGTGGTGCAGAATTCCCCCTGGAGTAGAGCTTGCATTGTCTCTCTGGAACCCGTGTTGATCTGGGTCAGTTTCCGTCAGTTTCTTAACAACTCTATTCTGTTTACCCAGACGGCAAGGTGACGCACATACCCATGTCTCTTAATCTGCCCTGAGAACAAACTTAATCCCTTTTCCCTCTATTGGGTAGCAATGCAAATTATGGGAGAAAACTGAGGCACACATAAGCCTCATAGAAATATTACAAAAAGTTCCTACTTTGTCACCAACATGTTCCTCACTCAAGTAAAAGATGAGGAGTTTGGGCTGGGCTGGTGGCTTAGTGCTTTGAATAGCAAAGTGTAAACCTTGGGTCTCCTTCCTAGTCCCAGTCCATTGCTCCCTGAGTTCTAGGAGGTGGGAAGGAGACACAGAGCCTTGTGTTGTTCATTGGCATCCCCCCTGGTTAATTGAGTAACTTTAATGAGGAGCTGTGAAGCTCTTCATAGCCCCTTCCTCTTGGGTAGGAGGCTGGTGACGGAGACACATGGTTTCTAGGGTGGGTGTGCAACGTAGAGGACAAACAGGGAGACTCTCAGGACTCTAACAGGAATGTAGAAGACCTGGCTGGGATGAGATATGAGTTTGTAACTCAAATCGCAGCTCTATTATGTATAAAATCCAGACTTAGCAAGTGTAGGAGTTAATGCCTAGCTCTGTAGCATTTATTCACCATCTTCTGCTCTGTGTTCCGGTCATATGTTTCTGTAGGGCATGATGGGGCAAATTTCTACCCCTGCTGTATGGTTGCTGAGGACTCTACCTGCAGTGGAACCAGCCTAGCTCTGCTGTGTAGGGAGGGGCTAGATGCTAGGAGCCAGCACATGGGCTTTGCATCCCATTCCTGCTTCAGAACCCAGCACTAGTGTGTGAGAGTCTGTCTGTGCCACCATGGAAGAGATTTTGAGAGAGAGAGGAAAGGTCAAGGGGAGGGTAAATATATCTGGGACTACACTGATCCATCAGGCATATACCCCATACATACACTTGGGGAAGGAAGTTGTCTCAAGTGGCGTCTTTGGGATACAAAGCAATGCTACATTTTTGCAAATAAAGTCAGAGCCCGCAAGAGAGAATTTGTTCCCTAAGTAGGTGTCATAACTATAAAGGGAAGGGAAACAGCTCTCCTGTGTACAGAGACTCCAAATCCTTTTACCTGTAAAGGGTTAAGAAGCTCGGGTAACCTGGCTGACACCTGACCCTAAGGACCAATAAGGGGACAAGATACTTTCAAATCTTGCGGGGGGGAAAGGCTTTTGTTGTGTGTCCTTTGTTTAAGGGGTGGTTCGCTCTTGGGACTGAGAGGGACCAGACATCAATCCAGGTTCTCCCCATCTTTCTAACCAAGTCTCTCCTATTTCAAACTTGTAAGTAAAAAGCCAGGCAAGGCGTCTTAGATTTACTTTGTTTTCTCAACTTGTAAATGTACCTTTTACCAGAGTGGTTTCTCTTTGTTTGCTGTACTTTGAACCTAAGACAGAGGGGGGTCCTCTGAGCTCTTCAAGTTTGATTACCCTGTAAAGCTATTTTCCATACTGATTTTACAAAGATGATTTTTACCTTTTTCTTTAATTAAAAGCCTTCTTTTTTTTAGAACCAGATTGATTTCTCCTTGTTTTAAGATCCAAGGGGGTTTGGATCTGTATTCACCCGGAGTTGGTGAAAGGAGGGTGGGAGGAAGGAGGGGGGATGGTTAATTTCTCCTTGTTTTAAGATCCAAGGGGGTTTGGATCTGTGTTCACCAGGGAATTGGTGAAAGGTTTCTCAAGGCTTCCCAGGGAGGGAGTTCTTGAGATGGTGGCAGCGGACCAGAGCTAAGCTGGTAGATAAGCTTAGGAGTCCTCATGCAGGCCCCCACTCTTGTACCCTAAAGTTCAAAGTGGGGATACAGCCTTGACAGTAGGGTGACCAGATGTCCCAATTTTATAGGGACAGTCCCAATTTTTGGGTCTTTTTCACACATAGGCACCTATTACCCCCCACCTCCTATCCCAATTTTTGACACTTGCTATCTGGTCAGCCTATCCCTAAGTGCCATTAACTATGACTTATGACTCTCTTTTGTAGGATGGTTTCTATCTATCACTGCAGCATGGCGTGGACTGGTTTGCTGCAGTGTTTGGGGTACCTCTGGAGAGGAAGTACAACACTGTCTTGTTTGGAGGTATGAATGAACCTGCAATCTAGTGTCATTTTCAGGTTCTCTTCTATGGTAATGTTTTTATTTATGAACAACTTGTAAACATATGGCACCATTGTTAAATTGGGGCTTAAATACCACAGTAAAAGATGCCCTAGAAGTACCCAAGAGAAGCAGATTATAAATATTTGGTAAATGGTACTGCTTATATGGAACTGATAGCTCTGACTAGTCAGGCAAGCAGTTCAACCTATTCCTCAGTAATGCTTCCTAGGCCAGGCCTGCTGTGCTTTACTACTTTAGCACTGAGCTTCCCAGGAATGGAGGCAAATCGGCAGGGGCTGTCGAATGAATAGAGGCTCACCATTTATACCTCAGCCGGCAGCCACACTGCCGTGTCTATGGAAGGGGCGTGGCAACTGTTCTGCAGAGTGCAGTACTATTTGTTGCCACCAGGGCACTTCTGTTGTGACTGAGTCTTCTCCAGCTCCTCCATGAGTCATTGAAGGCAGCAAAGCAGTGAATCAAGGCCTCTGAAAGGCTAATTCAGATTTGTTAATAGTGAGCAAGGGAAGGTAAGAGGCCTGTGTGTTGGGCCAGGTGTTTAAACAACCAAGTTCACATTCTTGGCATAGGTTGTGGTGTTGTGGTTTAAACTGTACCATCTGCATTACACTATCCTTCACTGGTGCTTCACACTTCATACATCCAAGAGACATGAGTGAAAATTTCAGGATTCTGGCTGAGAATGAGCAGCAACTGTTCCCCCCACCTTCTTCCTCCCTTCCCTCTATGAGACAGAGGTAGTGAGGAAGGGGCATACTTGTAGGTGCACCAATCATTTTGGGCACCAGCCGCCACAGCAAATGAGTATCTGATGTTGGCAGCCATCTGTGGTGACCACTGCTTATCATTGCAAATGTAATCATCTCTTTGTTACTTCGTATTTCCATCCTGCATCTGCCTGTACCTACCTGTTGTCTCTTGTGTCATACTTGGACTGTAAATGTCTTCAGGATAGGAACCAACTTTTTGTTATACATTTGTACAGTGCTTACCATAATGGATTTGAAGCTCAGTTGCTCCTTTAATGCTAATAATAATAATAATAATTAATGTCCATCCAAATAAGAAAGAACCTTGCTGCTTTCACTTGTGAGCTAAAGCTGTAAGTGGGTGTATGGTTTTTGTTTTGTTTCGTTTTTTTGTTTTTGTTTCATTTTTTACTTTTTTGTTGTTGAGCAACCACAAAGAAATTATTCTCCCCCAGATACTCAAATACTTGAGGTGAAATCCTGACTCCTTTAAAGTCAAGGAGAGTTTTACAGTTTTACCATTCAGTGGTGCAAAATTTAACCCATGGCCTCTGTGTGCATTTTCAACCTTGATAGGTGGTCTAAGTAAGACACATAAGCCAGCTCTCTCCTTTAAAGAAAAAAACTGTGACAACAAAGCATTTTCTTGGCAGTTTGTCACAAAGGTATTGCAAATTAATGAGGGCACTGAGTTAGAGATGGCAAGAGAGGAAAGGAACTGAAGATCACAGGGACAGAATGTAGGTTTCAAGGAACCTCTTCAGATATGTAGACTCACTGCCATTTATGTGAGGGTGTCACATACCCCGATGTGTCTCACTGCTGCCTTTGATACCAAAGAGAGAAAATATAAGCTAATTAAATGTGACAGATCCAAGTTCAGTTAATCAAAAAACTACTTAAAAGAATTGTGTGTTACACTGACTGGCTCTTAAATCCTATATTATCCTCTCTCCATGAACAGTAAGAGTTTGCAGTCAGAGATAGCAAATATCAGAGAATTTGCATTTTACTGACACACCCCTCCTTCCCCCATAAGTCCCATCTTGTTCTGGTTTGTCTGCATTTCCCTTTCCCTTGAAAACCCAATTAAATTCAGTTAAATAACAACTTAGCCACAATATTTTGGGGCTGTTTGCATTCCAGGGAGATAACTGCTGTTCATGGCTACAGTCTGACATTATAATTGTGTATCCTTTATATGTGTTTGAGTTGTTGGTTTTTTTTAAGGGCCATAGTGAAGTGATAGGCCTTAAACAATTATGCTGCCTTTGTGTTTAAAACTAAGGCAGCATGTCTAATGATTAAGTCTAATGATCAATCTTTTCTAGGTCTGATTGGCTCCATCTTTTCCATCCTGCAGTTTTTTTCCTCTCCGCTCACGGGCGCTGCATCTGACTGCTTGGGGAGAAGGCCGATCATGTTGTTGACAGTGGTATGTCTGGCAGCCTGACTAGAATCAGCATAAATCAAATGTACAGAGGGAGGCCAGTGTGTTTAGTGCACAGCACTAGTCCTGACCATTGCTGCCTCCCCTGGCCAAGTTACTTGATCAAACTTGGGGGTTTAACGTTAGGTACTTAGGGCCAGGGCCGGGTTTAGGCCAATTCAACCAATTCCCCTGAATCGGGCCCCGCCCCTAAGAGGGCCCCACACCCAAGCCCCGGTACGGCGTACTGGCAAGAGCCGGTGTGCTGTACCCGGGTGGCCCGGCTTCCCCAGGGGGCAATTTAAAGGGCCTCGGGCTCTAGCAGTCGCTGGAGCCCCAGGCCCTTTAAATTGCCACCAGAGCTCCACTGCTGGAGCCCTGGGGTAGGGCTGTGGGGCCCTGGGGGCTATTTAAAAAGTTCAGGACTCCCGTTGCTGCTACCGCCCCGGCCCTTTAAATAGCCGCTGGAGCCCCGCTGCTTCCCCAGGGCTCCCGCAGCTATTTAAAGGGCCAGGGCGGTGGAAGCAGGGGAGCCCCGGGCCCTTTAAATAGCCCCCGAGCCCCAGGCTGCTGCTATCCCGGAGGGGGAGGGGGCACTTACCGTACAGGGTGGGCTATACTCGCACCCTCTGCCCGCACCAGCCCCGCATCCCCTGCCCTGCCTGCAGCCAGCCCCTGTCTCCAGCCCCGCACCCCCTGCCCTGCCCTGCCCGCACCAGCCCCTGTCTCCAGCCAGCCCCGCACCCCTGCCCTGCCCTGCCCTGCCTGCAGCGAGCCTGTCTCCAGCCAGCCCCACACCCCCTGCCTACAGCCAGCCCCTGCTGCACCCCCGGCCCTGTCTCCAGCCAACCCCTGCCGCACCCCCCTGTGGCCCTGCCCGAAGCCAGCCAGCCCCAGACACCCCCCTGCCCGCACCAGTCTTGCACCCCCTGCCCTGCCTGTAGCCAGCCCCGCACCTCCTGCCCTGTCTCCAGCCAACCCCTGCTGCACCCCCCTGCCTGAAGCCAGCCAGTCCCGCACTCCTCTGAATCCAGCCCTGCCAACCCATGCCGCACCCCCCTGCGGCCCTGCCTGAAGCCAGCCACCCCATCCCACACACCCCTGTCTCCAGCCAGCCCCGCACCCCTTGCCCTGCCTGCAGCCAGACCCTACCTCCAGTCAGCCCCTGCCCTGCCTCCAGCCAGCCCCATGTCCACTGGTGCCCTGCAGTTCCCAGGGCAGTAACCCTGCACACCTGCTTCAATGAGGGGGGCAGGGAGCAGCTGGGACCCACACATGTGCACACCCTAGGGTGACCAGATAGCAAGTGTGAAAAATCGTGACGGGGGTGGTGGGGGGGTAATAGGATCCTATAGAAGAAAAAGACCCCAAAATAGGGACTGTCCCTATAAAATCGGGACATCTGGTCACCCTAGCACACCCGCAGGGAGTGGTGGGGACCCGCATATATGAAACGGAGCTCATTTCTAGTTCAGGCCCATCTTTTTAAAAAAGAACTTTAGGTAGGGTTAACATACATCCGTATTTTCTCAGACATGTCAGGCTTTTTGGTTCTTAAATTGCCGTCCGGGAAAATACGGACGTATGGTAACCCTATTGGTACAAAAAATACAAAAAATGTACTGTGGCACATTCCTTAAATCAGAACTTTTTATAGGGAACTGGTTGCTAAGAAATGAAAGGCTTTTTTTTACTGTTTTTTTTTTTTTCGTCATCCCTGCTGGGGCTCCGCCGAAAATGTTCGAATTGGGCCCCGCACTTTCTAAAGCTGGCCCTGCTTAGGGCCAGATTTTAAAAGGTATTTAGGTGCCTAAAGGTGCAGATAGGCACCTAGTGGGATTTTCAGAAGCGCTTATTTGTATCTTTTAGGCAACTCAATACCATTGACATTCTAACATGTAAGATCACACCACCTGTACAAGTGCCTACATGTGGATTTACGTGCTTGACTTTAGGCACTCAGTCTGAAAATGTTGGACTTAATCTTTTTGTCCCTGAGTTCTCCATCTGTATAATAGGGATAATAATATTATGTACTCCAGCCCCTTGTAAAGTACCTTGGGATCTTTGATTGGAAAGCACTTGACAGAAGTGCAACATATCATTTATTTATTGTATTAATGAACATTCACCAAACAGTTTCTCTCTTTGGTAGCTGTTACGAGTTTAAATTTAGGGCTCTGATTATAGGTATAATACAGTGCAAATATGAACATGCATAAGGGATCTCGGCAACAAATGACATACCCAACCCATCATCCAATAAAGTCTTTGCAGATTAATACATTAAGCATGTGTGAGTTCAATTATTATTCACCAAAACTGAAGGCTAAAATTGACTTTCAGGTCAGTGGATTTTTTCTCTTTTTTTGTCTTAGAATTTTTCTGAGTTGCAGATTTTATTGAAACATTTTAATTATATTGGAAACCATTTTGTGGCTGTCTTGTAAGCAAAATGGAGCAAGTTGTACAAAGGTGTTCTAAACACCTTTCCGTGCATAAAAAGGATAGATTTTCCATCAGACAAACTTCCTCCTAACATAATGTACAATAGTGGGATTGTGTGAAATGATTACAGATGGGTTCTCCTTATTGGATTTTTACTGTCTGACATTCAGTGTAGTACATGTCTGGTGAAATGCCAGTTTATTCAAGAAAGCATTTGTTGTTTCATGATTAATGGAGCAGACATTGATTTTGCTTTTCAAACATTAGTCTAGCTAGAAAATAATCCTAAAATGATGCTGATTTTACTGTATTATGTAAGAGAAATCTCCTCTTCTCTCTGCAGGTGGGGTTGATAGCATCATATGCACTCTGGGCTATCTCTAGGAGTTTTGGTATTTTTCTTCTCTCCAGAGTCCTAGGTGGAATAAGTAAAGGGAATGTCAGCCTGTCTACTGCTATAATTGCTGACCTGCACTCTCCAAAAACTAGGAGCAAGGGCATGGTGAGTTACAAATGCTGGCTATACGGATGGGATTTCTTGTTAATTTTTCATCAGAGTTGCGTGTTTTGTTACTTCTGATGTATTTTCACTGATCAAGTGATAATGATGACTTACGTTTGTAGAGTGCCTTTCTTCCAGAAGGATGCCAAGGCACTTTACAAATTGACTTAACAATTTTATTTAAGAGTCATTTCACCCACTGGTGAAATGCAACCAACTCTGGAATGGAAAGCGATACTTGTATAGCATTGTAGCAACTGCTAAAGTGTCAGTACACTTCCTGCACTATAATGTTTATCTAACTGAAACTATAGGGTGAATTTTTGGTAGGCAGAATGTTATCTGTATCCTGGCTAACTTGCACTTGGGGAAAATATGTGGAGATTTTTAAATTCAACAATAATATCAAGTGCTGATACAGTACTTTTCATTTTCAAAGCACTTTCCACACAATAATCCTCACTAAACTCCTGTGTGGTAGGTAAGCCAGTAGTACTCTTCTTATTTTACAGATTGCGAATTTGAGGCAGAAATAGTAAGAGGCTGTTCTCAGGCCCAAGAGGGATTCAATTGCAAACAGGGTTAGAACTCTGGTGTTCCTGTTTCAGTCCTGTATTCAGACAGCAAGTGGTCAGGCCCTAGTTTTTTTTTGTTTGTTTGTTTGTTTTTTTAATGTCTCCTCTTAAAGACACTGGCCTAAATTCTGTGCTAAGTTCCATTGAAGCCAGCGTGTGTGCACAGGGTATAAATCGGCACAGTAGTTAACTTCCTTCCTCCAGCATTATAGCCCTGTTCTGGTGCACTGATTTAATGCTGAACTGGAGGGAAGACAGCTACCTAATGAGGCACCTTTACTATTTCCTGCACCATCACAGGTTTTTCTTAGAATCCACCAATCCTAATTCTGCCCTGGCCAAAGCCTGCTCACCTTTATCTAACTTGTATCGATAGGGCAGTAGCTGGGAATTGCAAAAGAACCTGGGGGGATGAGAAACAACATCATTGCCACCAAGGTGGTACACATGATGCACTGACATCATCCTACACTGAGCAGCTTTACAATCTAAAAGCACATCCTGGGGCTTTATGGTTTTAGACCCGCTTTGGGTGAATAAGTCCTGAACTGAATGAGCACATGTTTCAACCTCCTCCCCCCCTATTTTTTTCCTCCACTTTCTTTATTTCAAAGGAGAAAGGAGCCTTAGTAGTGGAAATGATTCCTGGGTGTCCCTTTACCATGCTGAAAAGTGTCATGGCCACTTATTGAATGATAGCCCATTTTATTTTCTGCCCAGTCATGAAAGATTCAGCTCTGTTGCAGTTATCTCTGCCTTGCCATTCATTGCTATTTGCCACACACTTGCCCCTTCCCTCGAGGTGGTTGTGGATTTTTTGGGCATTTGCTTCATGGATGTTTAGCAAGAGACAGAATAGCTTTAGAACTGACTCTCTGAATTGGATCAAAAGGTATTTAATTCCATTACCTGCATAATTGATCATGCTTCATGTTGTGTTAGCATTTGGCACAACAATTTAGCTTCTATCAGAGTATGACAGACCTAACAGTTATCAAGTTTTACCCCTCCACAAAAAAAAAAAATTATTCTTGGTCATGAATAAACCTATGTCTAAAACTTCATTTACTATATCTCAACAGGCAATGATTGGTGTTGCTTTCTCACTTGGATTTACCGTGGGTCCTATGATTGGAGCTTACCTTGCCATGGAAACAGGGAAAGGAGAAGTCTTCTATCTTCGGTCAGCTTTGCTTGCGCTCACGTTTGCTGTTGCTGACTTAATTTTCATCTTCTTCCTGCTTCCGGAGACACTCCCCAAAGAAAAACGGGTAAAATATGCTGAGAGTGGCTCTGAAAATCCATATTTCCTATAGGCAAGGGCAGGACTTGAAAATTATTGAAACAGTAGAAATGTATGGGGAGGGAAAGAAACTCTCCAGAACCTGATGGCTCAGGGATTTGGTTCAGTCTTTAGACCAGAAGTTAAACCCACCTAAATTGGTGATGACAGAAAGTAGCAATTGTGATTAGCAGTCATGTCCTAGGTACTGCAGTGCATCAAAAATGCTTAGATAGTTACCACTGAATTTCTGTTGGGTATGCTAAACTTCAAATTCTTCAGAAACTGATGGGGCCAATAGACAAGCCCTAGAATACTGTGTCACCCTGAGCTGGCCCAATCTAATTTGAGAATTTCAGACAATATTCTAACTCAATCATGAAAATACAGTGAAATTTGTTTAAGACATGATTTCTCCAATTAGCCAAAGCAGGCCATAAATTGGTTGTCTAGTCTAAACTAATCAGAATACAGCTGTCAATAACAGTCTGGGTATCTTTTTCTAATTGTCTGTCAATATTTATAATGTGCTCATCATTGTAGTGCCTAAGCACTGGTGTATGAGACTAAAAATACCATGAATGCTCTACTTGGTGCGGGAAGGATGGAGATTTCTGTGTCTCACTCGGATGAACAAGAACTGCAACTTTGAGTGCATTATTAATTCTCAATTGTTGCTGCACCAACATCTGATAGACACTGGGTCAAATTTTCAAAAGCACCTAAATCCCATTTTCAGAAGTGATTTAGGAGCCCGAGTTCTGTAAAGTCTTATTCAAGTTAGAAGTGTAAGGGCCCACTTTTTGGTTAAAGGTATTTAGGCGCCTAAAGGGGAGTTAGGCATCTAGGTGTTTTTGAAAATCCCACTATGTGTCTATCTGTGTCTTTAGGCACCTAAATACCTTCTGAAAATCTGCCCCCCCAAGTGCCTAAATCACTTCTAAAATGAGTCTTAGGCTTTCAGAAAACAATACCTTACTCTGTGGCATAGGTACTTTTGAAAATTTTACCCAGAATTAGTAATTCCTGCCTCATTCTTTGGCCCAGAAGAGGATTCTTATAACTGGCAAGATGAGAAGTCAGCACCTATGGTCCCAGTGGTGCTCCAAATTTTCGGGTGCCCTATGCAGCCACGTATACTGTGTATGCCTGAGGACAGCCCTGAAACAGGTTCCTCTGTAAGTCCCTGGAGACAGAAACTTGTAGCATTCAGCCCTGGGTGTAAGTAGGTAAAACACCATTGATTTTAAGGCTTGCAGCAGGGCTTAATCAGTGTCATTGTCTTTGTCCCTCCCTCTAAGCAGCACCCAGCCCTTTAAACATACCCTCCATTTACAAGGCACTTGTGGAATGAACTCTCTGTCTCTATAATTGGGCATTTAGAATAGCACAGGAAAGTTTGCCTGTGCTATTCCACCATGGCAAAAACTTCAGACCTTCCCTAAATGATGCCAGCAGGGTGTGTCGTGTGAAATGGCTGTTCATTTATTCCCCCACTATGATTTTTTATGGCCCTTTCATGCATCATGTGGTCTGAAATCCTAGCTAAGGACTTTGACACTTTTTTCCTGTGTACTTTTAAAAATTCAAACTATTCCTTTTGCGTGTTTATGGCAGTCTGTTAGGGCTATGGACGCTCTTTGTAGACAGAGATGGTGTGAGAGTTCATTAGCTCAGGTCTGGACAGGGCTTTGAAGATATAAAGCGTGTCGGTATTATTACGCAGGGCTCTTCAATCCACCTTGTGGTTCCCCATGCCTGCCTCATGAAATTATGATTTAGTGACACCTTAATGCCTTAAAGAAACCACTCCATTTAGCAATGGTGATTTCATATATTTAATAGTTTTCTCTAATTCTCCCCACTTTGATTTTTAAATCCAAATCCTTTGGTGGTGAGACAGTGCACATCTACTCCGATATAACGCTACCCGATATAACACGAATTTGGATATAACGCGGTAAAGCAGTGCTCCAGGGGGACAGGGCTGCGCTCTCTGGCGGATCAAAGCAAGTTCGATATAACGCGGTTTCACCTATAACGCGGTAAGATTTTTTGGCTCCCGAGGACAGTGTTATATCAGGGTAGAGGTGTAATTGACTCCACAGAACAATCTATTGTGGGATCACAGAAGGCTGTGGCTAAGGTGAGGCATAAGCAGCAAGGGTAGATGAAGTCTTAAAAAGCAGAGATTCCCCTCAGTGAAAAATTAGCAGATAAAAAATACAGACCATATTAGCACAATGTTTTTAGAAAGGATTTTTTTTCCTCATGGTTTCCCAGTAGGTGTCAGTGGCTGGTTAAAAGGGCTGCAAATGCAAACAATAAAGCAGTCACTTATATGCTACACATTGGGTTGTTTGTGTGATACAGATCATGTATCCGATTGCACATGTTGCATGTATTTCAGTAGCCCTAGAGGACCTGATCTTTGGGGCTTCTAGGTGCTAGTGTAATGCAACAAATAATAATATATGCCTTATAAATATGCAAGGCCAGTGGAGCCCCTCTGGACAACAGGAAAGTGAAGATTGGTGAATGGAACAGAGGCAAACTTGTCCTGCCCATTCTTAATCACAAAACTAACAGGTAAAGTAAAAGAGGAGAAATGCTGTTATCTGCTGGTTATTTTTATTTGGCCCCTGACACTTATCCTGGCTTCAGGGTGAAATGGGAATAAGCTAACCAATAGCCAAAATCAGTCTATACGTGCTTGGGGTAAAATTGTGCACACAAACCCCTTGTTCGTATGTGTGTATCTGGTAGACATGCCATTAACTGATTGCAGAGTTTGTGTATGCACCTGTGTATGGAGAACATTTGCTCATGTGGCCTATGGTGTCAAGTCTGGCTAGAGGTAAAACCTTGCATTCTGCTTTCTGTGAAAGGTTTTGGTATTTCTTGTTTTTTTGGTTTTTGTTAGAAATGTTTCACCTTTTGGCTACCAAGGGCCAGTTTTGAAGCACATTTACATGCATTCAAAACATTAGGATTGTTGGCAGTGGGTTGTGCAAACCTAATTCATCCTGCTCCAGTTCTTTAAGCTAGCCACAGTTGTCTCTCTCTTCTTAGGTATCCTCCATGATGTGTGGATTTCAGGCAGGGAGTGACTTGCTTAGTCCGCTGGCTTTGTTTCAGTTCTCTGCAGTCACCAGAGGAAAGAACTCACCTTCGAGGGAGAGTAAGTGCTGCTTGTTTTTTCACATTATGCCATATGTGTTCCCTTGATGTGGCGGTGATTTCTAAATACACTTTTTCTCCCTTTTGACCATTTCAGAAGCAACTCCCACCCTCAACCTTTCAGATCCACATTAACTATTTACAAAATGGGAGTTGCAAGCTGCATTGGGTGTTGACCAGGGCTTTGTTATCTCCAAGGAATGGCTTTGAGGTTTTATGTCAGGGGTCTGGAGCCACTCTCCTTTCCATCGTTCCTTCTCTGTTCTGCGTGGGCATTAGCTGCAGCTGTAGGTACATCACAGCAAATTAAATGACCTAAAGAGACAGATCAAGCCATGAGTTGGGTAACCTGGATTCCAGTGCCAGGCTGGAAACCGGGAATGCCAGATCCTGAGGCATAGGCGCAGACTCGGTTGGCCTTGGAGCACCCATGGAAAAAAATAGTGGGTGCTCAGCACCCACCAGCCACTGCTCTTCGGCCACACTGCCAAACAGCTGTTTGGCAGCTCAGGGAGGGGCTTGGGGGAGACTGGTGGGCGGGGGCCTCAGGGAGGGGTTAGAGCATGGGCGGGGAGGGGGCGTGGCAAGGGCAGGAAGAGGCGGGTGAGGGCGGGGCCTCAGGGGGAAGAGGCAGAGTCAGGTTGGAGTACTCCTAGGAAAAAACTAGAAGTCAGCACTTATGTCCTGAGGCATTTTTCTCTAACTTCAGATGGAATTTTGATTTCAAAGTTTGGGGATGTTCAGACACAGGGCTTTGGCTGGGCCTTTCTCTGAGTAAAGGTGTTTGGAATTTGCCAGTCATACCAGTGAGTTAATCTGTCCTTCCAACTAATGTAATGGTGCAAAGGAATAGTGTTAGACACATGAAACACATCTTATTCTTAACTGTGTAGCATATAATCATATCAACCATCTACTTCTGTAAAGCATAGGACACTTCCTTTTTCAAGGCCAATTCAAACCACCTACACTCTATAATTGACCACTTCCACTGATGCCCAAGAGATAGACCAACAACATTTGCATTCATATTCATCCTATAAAACAAAGGTATTAAATTAAAGAAAATATTGAGGGCTAAATGTTGGGGGTAGTGGAGGGAAAGTCTTTACCCATTGGCTTCCTTCCAGTAGGAAGAGAACCTTAATGATATGACTGAGTGTTCACTTCCTTGGAAGTTATTGCTCTTATTTTTCACTTTAATCCCTGAGGGCTGGTCTACACTACCACTTAAATTGATGTAATTTATACGTTGCTCAGGGGTGTGAAAACAACACCCCCATGAGCAATGTAAGGTACATTGATTTAACGCGGTGTCCACATAGTGTGATGTCACTGGGAGGCGCTCTCCTGCCGACATAGCTTCCGCCTTGCGCAGAGGTGGAATAATTATGCTGACGGGGGAGCGCTCTCTCGTTGGCATAGTGCGTCTTCACCAGACACGCTACAGCAGTGCAGCTGCACCTATGTAGCACAGTAGTGTAGACTTGCCCTTATATTCTAGTCACAGAAATGGGGCCAGAATCTAATCTGTGGTGTGTGGCATGTGGCTATTTAATATAAGCATCGGAGATAAGTCCTGGCCCTTTTTTATTTAAGTGGTACTGAATGTTGCTTTTTTTAAAATGGTACTTATGGTGTAGTGTCTCCTTCTCTCTTTTTTTGTATTTAGACCTTCAGAATCTCAAGGTCCTGGGCCTAGTTTATTTCCTCTATCTCTTCCTGTTTTCTGGTCTTGAATACACGTTGAGTTTTCTCACCCATCAGCGATTCCAGTTCAGCAGGTACAGTGTGCTTAGAAGAGATGTGCTGTGTACTCTCTAGCGTTTCTTTGTTCCTTGTTTTCCCAAGAGACCCTCTCAAGGCTTCTCCTAATTTTCAAGGGTGCCTTTTAATGATGAGCGTTAACATGCTACAAAACTGCATTCTGTTACAAGTTGATTTTTAATGCTCCCAATTTTCTCTTTATAAGCCAGGAAGAATAGTTGAAATACAGACACATCAATCAGGAAAGCAAATACTCTGAAATTATAATTAAAAATTTAAAGAAAAATTGATGTGCAGAGATGGAATCAAAACAAATGGAAAATGTACAGTGAATTTGTGCTTAACTGGCCTGGCAGTATTGATTCATGTAAAACTACCCAAAGAGCTTTTCTGTGTCAGCATGTATCTTGAGGCTTAAATAAAGCAGAATGGATACAGGGTTTAGCTATGTGATTATATTTGCTCAGCAGAGTTCTGTATTATATACAGTCTGAAAACCCTTATGTAATGCAACTTCTGGTTTGCTGAATTCCTTTAATCAAACCCTGTTGTACTCTTTCATATTATTATTCTCTTCTTGAAAGCAGTTTAATTGCTGGTTTGTAGAGAAGTCCCAACTTGGGACCAGATGTTGCAGCATTTACTCCTGTGAGTAGTCCTTATCCCTGGTTGGTTTTGTTTCTGGATATTCTTTCTATTCCTGTCTTTCCCTTCTCATAATATGATTTACAAAGATCTTTGTATGTCACTGGAAGCCTTTTCCTTTGTGATAATCCTGCTGCTTCTGCGCAATTCATTCAGTGACATAACAACTATCTGCTGTTTGGATATGTCACTCTTATGACCATGATCATGACTGTGTTAAGACATCCTTGAATGAACTGGCCAGGAGGACAGGCTAGTTATCTAGGTAAGAGTTGATATAATCAAAATACTTTGGTAACCAATAGTGATGAGAGAGGAATAGCCCAGGAATTATGTTTTGCCCAAATTTATATCTTTTGAATTTAAAATTTGTCAGTGGTTTATTAAAGATTCTGTATTTTCTACAGAGGAGGAACAGCATGGGCAATGGCAGTACAAACTTCCCAAACAATGTACCTTTACCCTCACCTCAAGGGGCCACTGCCAGGGTTAATTGTTCAGTTTCCTTCCCCTCTCAGCTGAGACTGCTGATGTGGGTGTTGGTTTCTAGGATGTGAAACACTTTGTCCACTGGAAACCAACAACTCATTTCACATAGGTCACCAGAAAGCCATCAGACAGTAAGCTGTTTTGGTCAGTAATGTCCTGGAATGCCTACCCTTGGGCTGCCCTAGGAATGCCTTAGATAGCAACAGGCTAAAGTGAAGAGCTCTATATCTCTGAGCAATCCAATCTACCTTTATTTTTCTATTTTGATTGGTGGTGGTGCCTAATTCTGTCTGAATGTTAAGACCCCTTTATTGCCATGTGGACACCTAAAATATCCATCTCTTTCATTTAGGAAATAGTAATCTAGATCCCAGGGGAAGACTTTGTGTGTGAGCGTTAGCCATGTATAATTTGTGCTTCCCCCTCTCTCCAACCCCTTCTAGTATGCAGCAGGGCAAGATGTTTTTCTTTATTGGGATGACAATGGCTGTGATCCAGGGAGGCTACACTCGCCGAATCAGACCAGGATGTGAAATCAAAGCCGTAAAAAGGGTATATTTCTCTTTTAAACATATATTATTTGTATTTATTCCATTTCCTCTCGACTCTGACATGCTACTTTTTAATTAATAAAGCAACCAGAAGGCATTTTATGGATGTAACTGTACTGGGGATTAAAATCAGAGGGATGGAGTGAGTTTTGCTTTGACTTCATCAGTACATCTAAGTGACTTCTTTAGGTCATTTCCTAACGCTTCTAATTGAATGGACATATTTTGTCTATTAACACTGTAGTGACATTTTTCAAGCAGACAAAACATTAAAACATACAAACCATCTCCCACAATACTGTGGCTTCTTTCCCTCTAATGTATTATTTAAAATTTCTGTAATCTAAGTTCTTCATAGCTGCTGACACTTCCGAGAGTTAGCCCAGTTCACACACAGGCTCAAGTGAGGAGTATATTTTTCCAGTGATTTCTGGTGTGGTTTAGTGGTGGAACACAGGACTCAGAGGCAAGAACTCCTGAATTGTAATCCCATCTCTGACTGCCTTTCTGGCACTGGCTAAATCATTTTAAGGGATGCTATCAATTTTGAAATCTAGTCAGTTTCCTTCAGTCATGGTTAACTCTAGTAACTCGGACGTGAATCTGGGTCAGTGTTGTGGGTGTGGTTCCTCTTTAGCAGCGTGAAAACAGCAGTTCAGCTAGGCTTGAATTGTAAAAATGTGAGAGAGTTGGGGGGAAATTAAAGCTCTCCTTTGTGAATCACATGGTGGAACCTGGCTCTGATATTGTGCTTTCAAATAGGAAGGGGGGAGAGCACAACATGGGAGCAGAGATCTATTGCACAGCAGGAAGAGGAGAATCTTGTCCTGTTTCTTTTTACCTTGGGGTGGTTGGTGTTCATTGAACTCTAAGGATCTTCTTCCCCTGCACCATGGTGACTAACCCTCCAGTTGATGAGGGGCGGATGCAGCATCTCCTAGCATCCATCAGCACTACCAGGAAAAGGGGGGACAAAATGCTCCTATTGCTCTATTCTACACAAGTTTCGTTCCCAGTTCTGCCAATCTTATCTGGGCATTCTCTACCTCTGCATCCTCAGTGACGCAATCGCCACTTCCACAACACCTAACAGGAAATAAATCTCCCATGAGTAAAAGCAACAGATCAATCTAGAAAGGGAAACTTGGCAACATGGGAACTGTCTCCTTAACTTAAATATATCCCCTCTCAGCAGCAGCGCAGTGCCAAGAAACCTAGGATTAGGCTTTTATGATGGATATGTCTTTAGATGTAATAGAGACACACTCATTTTGCATTTTTTTTTTTTTTTAGGCTATAATGCTGCTGATTCCAGCTTTCTTGTTAATTGGATGGGCTGGTAATGTGACGGTGCTGAGTGCTGGACTGTTGCTCTATTCTTTCGGTGAGCTATTCAGATAGTTCCCAATAGGCATTGAAGCATGGCAAATCAACTTCATAGATTTCCTCACCCTGTTTAATAAAGATGTACTTCAGGCTTCATGGAATAGGTAATAAAAGTTGACTTTCTTGCTTCTAAAACCTGGAAGGAATAGCAGGGTTATTCTGATGCTAATTGTATCCCTAGACGTTGTCATGGTGATGTTTGTAAATGTCACCAGCGCTCATCTTGTCTCAGCTGACTGGGGAGCATTTCAGATTCTTTTTCTCTCCCAGACCTAGAGACAACTTGTACATTAAATAAAAATACCCCAGCTTAGTAAAAGGCAGGCAGCTTTGCTTTTCAGAACTGCGACAGCTGCTTTATTCATTACACTTTGGAGGCTGGGCAGAGGAGAGCTGCATAACTGTCTGTCAGAGCAGGAATGAGAAGTGCTGTATCTAAACACTCTGATTTATGCTACAACACAGTCAAGGGAGGGCTTAGTCAACAGTATAATTTTCTGCTCTCCTGCCTTGCTAACCACAGGCGGGGAAGGGTGGGACAACTCAATCTGTCATTTATGAAGAAAAGTGCGGAAGTGTGTGTGCACGGACATATGTATGTTTAAAAGGAAATTTTTTTTTTGCACATTTAGGCCTCCATTCAGGAAAGCAATTAAGCATGAGCTTAGGTCCGTCCCTATTTGGAAAAGCACGTAAGCGCATGCTTGACTTCAGTGGGACTTAAGCACCTTAAATCTTTTCTTGGACAGGCACCATAAGATGTTCCCAAAAGAGTTAACATTATTACAACAACAGGATATTCTCTTTTGAGTGGCAGAGATACATTTGATAATGGGTACAGAATTTTAAATCCCTGAATTAAAAACAAAAGGTTTCCTGTTTTAGGAAGAGTCTGTTTGACAGCTTGCTTGTCTAGGGACAAGTGTATGTGAAAAATTAACAAATCATTCAGACTCACTGGAGGATGCCTAGCTCCTGCCACCTGATTGTCCTTTCCTTGCTGGGAAGTATTTTGTATGCCACAGCTCTTCCTTGTTGGGAGAAACATGGTCTGTTTCAGTAAGAGGGCAGTTCTCATTGTTAGATCTTGGCTGTTGTGTTGAGTTGGGCTCTGTGAGCTAGCATATTTTCTCACTAGACTTGGCATCTGCATACTGCATTGTAGAACAATATGGTTGCTTTTATCTACTTTATCCACAAGTACTATACACTTATGTGTCTCAGAGGACTCTTCATGATTCCACACATGGCCATCTCACTGAGCATGTGATGTATGAAAGATTCCCTCTCCCACTACACCTGACAAGATGATAGAGATCTGGAAAACTACTAGTTAGCTGAATAGACTGTAACTGTGACCTTTATGCCCCTTCCCTCTAGGGCTCTCAGGAAGAAAGGCTGTAATGTAAAACAGCTGCTGAATGCTCATAGCCTTTATGGCTGCAAGAGTTGTTTGTGTAGGTTGGCTTTGTGGGGGTGTTTTTGTTATTAAACTGAATGAAACCTTATGATTCATTGTTGGAATAATGCCCTAGGGCTCCACATTTTTCTGTGCAGTAGTAACCAGTGTGGCTGCATTTCTGGCTATAGCTATCCTTGCTGCTTTGGGCTCTCTGTTCTTTAGTGCTATTCTAACCTACTCTTACATCTTTTCCAGCCGCTGCCATTGTTGTTCCTTGTTTGTCAGCAGTGGTGTCAGGCTATGGTAAGTGGCTCTTTACTTGTTTGAGGGGCAGCACTTGTCTGTACAAAGCTAACTTTAACTGAAACTGCAAATACAAAATCCAGTTCCACTTAACCCCCATTTGCTGCTACAGCAATATGCATTTAGTGCTGGAACCTGGACTTTCAGAACTGACATGGGGTTACACAAGTTAGATTTATAATGTACCAAAAGCCTGTCCTCAGCTCTAAGTGCATTTGACAAAAGCTAAAAATACTATCAATTAAAAGTAAAGGCATTAGCTAATCCATCCCCACAAGCCATACTGCTCTCTCTACTTGAAGTGACAAAGGCATGAATAGCAGTAGCAAAGTTACAAACTCCTGGGGGGAGGGCGGGAGTGAAAGCCTTTCTAGACACTGATGCTCTGTGACAATTTAACTGCAGCTGGGGATTCAACAATCCGGGTACCCTCAAATGCAGTAACAGGTGGGACAATCAAGTAAGACGGACTCCATATCTTCTGGTTGCTTCCTTCAACCTGCCAGCATTACCTTGGTCTTATCAGGCTTGAACATCAGCTAGCTAGCTCTCATCCATGCCCTGTTCCCTCTCAGACACTGGTGCAGGTGTTTGACAGCCTTGGTTTGGTCAGGTGAGATAGAGATACAAACATAGCTATCAAATGGCATGCTGGAAGTGCCTCTGCCTGTACCACCCTGCAGGCTCCTCGTACTCATTGCATAGAGAGGATACTAGATGGAACACTATGGAACTCCACATGGCAGAACCCTCAAGCAGGAAGAGAAAATGCCCAACACTGGGAACTCTGGAAACAGTCAGCAAGGAAGGAACAAAGTCACCTGAGAGCAAGTCGTGAGCAGTGGTGTCAGATCTAACACTCCTGGCATCTTCATCCATTGCAAGGAGATCATCTACCAACATCACTATTGCAGTCTCTTCTGCGTACCCAGGCTTGTACCCAAATTGATAGGGTTAAAGAAACCTGAGGCATCTAGGTTCCCGCAGAGTTCACTCACCACCACCTTCTCTCTAATCCTAACCCAAAATAGAAGATGAGGAAGAGGACAATTGATTGTTGGTTTCTTGAACTAAGGCTGCACAAAAGCCTCCTTAAGGAGGGCAGGTTGCTGATCTCTCTAAAGAGAAGCACTGACCATCTCTGCTGGCAGTGGAACCAGTTCTTTCGCACTGGTTTGATCAGCAAGGAAAAACATGGGTCCAAAGCACTGGTTGTTACATAATACCCTTGCACAAAATACACAAAGAAACCATAGCTGCTGTATCATGCACTGAAGACTGACCCCTTCGTTCCATTACAGCCTCCAGTATTAGTAATGGTTGCTTAGGGATAATAATAAGACAGAAATTGCTGTTTCTTATTATAATGACGTGATGCTGTTTATACTCATATCTGTGTATCATTAACCTTTCTTTTTAAAACCTATAGTTTCTCTACCTAAATCTGGTAAAAAGAAAGATGATGTAAAAATTCATTCTCTAACAAGGAGAACGTGAAGCCCTCCTGCAATTCAGTGAAGAGCAGTATTAGCGTCTGTGAGGTTCTCTGTGCAATGTAATGCTGTTTTGGCATTGAGCTGCAGCATGTGAAAGCACTCACAGCAAGAGCTATTCATTATATTTTCCCAACGAAGAAGTCATGTTCAGCAACGACTGTCACCTCCTCAGTGGAGAGGAAAAACTACTAAGGAAGCAGAGTGCTTAGTGGATGGGGAGTGAGTGAGCTGTGAGTGGTATAAAACAGCAAATCTGACATGCACAGAAACCGGATTCAAGTGCAAGGGGGAAAAAAAGGTCTTGTTCAAAGAACTAACTAATTGGTGTGGCACTTTTCCTTGCACAGGCTCAGCCAGCCAGAAGGGAACAGTAATGGGAATTCTGAGGAGCCTGGGGGCCCTAGCAAGAGCTCTGGGACCAATCTTGTCAGCAGCAGGTAAGCGGTGCACGATCCTGCACCACCCCGGCAATATAAAATGTAATTCTCTGGCTCCTTCAGCCTGGCAACCATTAGAAAGTTCCAGGGAAGGGGCCATAGGGAGAAACAGGTGGGACGTGGCAATGGGAATGTAGACATGATTGAGTAGTAAATTGCATGTCTTTGCCGAACATTCCTAACTGTTGCAAGTTAAGGGATAAGTTATACCCTCATGGGGGTCTCCCATTGACTTACTTCAACAGGAAGCGCTCACACATGGATCAAGGTACTCGAGACAGACTTTTAACGGCACTGTTGACCCGAGCTGCCAGGATCCCTTTTCGACCGGGCATTCCGGTTGAAAAACCAGATGTCTGGCAACCCTAAGCTCAGCTGATCAAAGGTTGGGCTGTGCAGTGCAGACACTTGAGGTGGAGCCTGGGCTCTGAAACCCAACGAGGGGAGAGGGTCATAGGGTTCCCATATTTCAGGTTCCCCAAAAGAAACCCAGACATATGGTAACCTTAGTCGCAGAGCCTGGGTCCTGCCCGAGCAAGACTGTCAACACTGCTACTCCTAGCCCCACCGAGCAAGCCGCATGAGCCAGAGTCAGTTGAGCTGTGGTTTGAGTCTCGCTGCTGTGGATTTTTTTGTTTCTTTGCTTACAGCTGCAGTGTCAATGTCCAGGGAGGTCTAACAGGCCCAGAGTAGGAGGCAGAGGCGCCTTGGGTCTAAGCCTGGCTCTGACAGATTCCGCCCAGCCAGTGTTTAAATGCACAGAAAAGTTTTTTTTTTATGTAAAGTATGTCCTGAAGCCCATTAGTATGTTTCAGAACTGAACCCTGCACTGTAGTGGATCTAGCAAAGTAAACCAGGACCTAAGCCCTGGAGTCAGAAACGGACTTGGGCACCTAAGTGTAAGTCCCAGTTTTAGGCTCCACTGTGATTCACAAAACTGCTGCTGCACCTTGTAGGCACCTAAGTTTGTGCAGTAAAAAGTTCCCTTGGTGCTTATGTTTTTGCTGCTGGGCCTGCACAATCACTGCTTCCTTCTAAGCATAGACTGGGGCCACATCTGGGAATAGAAATTATATGGCAGGCCATGAATGCTCAAAAAATTGGGGTTGGGGAGCGGGAGGGGGTGAGAGCCCTGGTTGGGGATGCGGGCTCTGGGGTAGGGCCAGAAATGAGGAGTTCAGGGTGCAGCAGAGGGGCTCCAGGCTGGGGTGGCGGGGGGAGTGGGGAGGGCTCTGGCTGGGTTGCAGACTCTAGGGTGGGGCTGGGGATGAGGGGTTTGGAGTGCAGGCGGGTGCTTCAGGCTGGGATCAAGGGGTTCAGAGGGCGGGAGGGGGATCAGGGCTGGTGTATGGGAGAGGCGCTCAGGGGTGCAGGCTCTGGGCGGAACTTACCTCAAGTGGCTCATCGAAGCAGCGGCTCACCTTCTCTGGCTCCTACGTGGAGACCTGCCCCGTCCGCAGACGCAGCCCCTCCAGCTCCCATTGTCTGCGGTTTCTGGCCAATGCAAGCTGCGGGGGCGGCGTGCAGTCCCCTGGCTGCCCCTACGCGTAGGAGCCGGATGGGGGCCATGCCGCTGTTTCCGGGACCTGCGTGGAGTGGCCCCCGCCCCTGCTCCCCAGCTGGAGTTCCGGAGCTGGGCAAGCCCCAGACCCTGCTCCCCAACGGGAGCTCGAGGGCTGGATTAAACCAGCTGGCAGGCCAGATATGGCCTGCGGGCGGTAGTTTACCCATCCCTGGCCTAGCACCTGCCTAAGCCCCAGAGCCAGTCAGGCATTGGCTACATGTTCCTCTGCCTAACACACTGACAAGGTCAAGTCGGGTAGGTGTTCTCAGAGCAGGCGCCTTCGCGTGAATCAGCCAGGGAAGGCGGGGAGTAGGCAGGCTGTCCTCATAACATTTAGCTCATCTGGGATGTTAGAGACCCCCTACTAGTTCAATTCCCCCTTTTACCTGATTTGAACAGGGCTCTGCCACCTCTCAGATGAGTGCTATAAGCACTGGGCTATGGGATTGTCTGATACAGGTCTCCCTCACCCTCACCTGTTGAAGCCGTTGCACTGTGGATAAATAATTACATTAATTGAGCATGCAAGAGAGAGCGAGCATATGAGCACGCAAGCATAAGAATGATTATGTAGCCTCAGAGTCCACCCAGGCTCCAGCCTCTTTAATTATATGTACACAATGGAACTGCTTCAGCAGGAGAGAATCAGGGAGCGCACATCCTAAGCACTGGGCTAAAAGTTATGAGGTCTCTTCTTCTCCCCCCCTCCCCCTCCACTCCAGCTTCTTGCAGAAAACACCTGAGGGAGAAGAGGGTTCACAACTGAGAATCACAAACAGACATAGACACCTAGGTCCCTCACAGGGGTGGAGTTTAGCTTCTCCGCCTCCCCAATCAGCATCTCCTATTGGCTAGCTTAGGCAGCTCCCTACCTGGCATGCTGGTGCAAGTGACTCATAGTCTGTAATGCCTGTCTCTTCCCAGTCATTGTATAGGGAGCCAAAGGGCCTAGCACAGCTTTGTGGAATGCCATGTGACTTTCTACCTGCCTCAACTTTAGGCCTTGTGACATTTAATACTTAGTCCTTCCAGGAGTGCCAGGGCCTGGACTAGATGACCTCTCGAGGGCTGAAAGAATAAGATATGGAAAAGCAGTGAGGCCACAGATATTGATTACTATAAGTAATTAGGCTGGTGCTTGACCAAGAAAGCATCCTGTGTAGAGCACCTCAGTTGACAGCAGCACTTAGCAAATAGCAGACAGGCTAATTATTTGAATGGTACGGCTCCAAATTTCTTAAGTGTCTCAACTGCGTACTTCCATTTTCTTCCACTGAGAAACATTGTCATATCTGTCAAAGCCCGAAGGGAAGGGCAGAGATGTGACTGGGGCAAGGATAGCTGTGCTATGCTACTAATCGGGCTGTGTTCAAACCTCCCCCCCATGTTCAGGTTTTTCCTTGGGAGGTCGGGGGCCTTGGGAGAGTAGGGAGAAGGAAATCAGTCAGTTCTGGCTAGATCCATATTTACCATTTGATACCAGGAAGGTAGAAGATTTAATACGTACTTGATCTCAGCTTAAAACTTAGGTAGTATTGTAAAGGCTTGAAGTGGAGGCAATTGAGTTGCTGTGGTGAGACGGGGATAGAGGAACAAGTGGTGGAGGATGGGATTCGGATGCAGGTACAAATATGGGCTGCGTATAGTGAAGGGAAGAAACGAGTTTAGGAGCAGATGCTCGTTAGGAAGAAGCTGACAGCAGCAGCTTGCATGTGCGGATCCTGCTTCTCACATGGGCCCCCTGCTCCTGCCGTTGCCGTCATTCTGCACCCCTCTCATGCTCTTCCTGATGTGTTGCTGCTGGCTGTCTGCCAGCCCCAAGTCCTGCGAAGTACAGCAGGAGTGGCGGCAGCTCTGACTGTGGAATTAAACAGTTTGGAACTGAGTTAACTAATTGGCTTCCAGTGAAATCTAAACAAGGCAAAGTAAGGGAGGGTGGGTAGAGTAACAGCAGAACAATTGTCTGTGGCTGTAGAAAGTGAAAAGAATCTACCTAATTTTAAAATTTACCTTTTGAAAATCATTGTCTAGCTAGTGTAATGTAGTTACATAAGAACAGCCACCCAGGGTCAGACCATCTAGCCCAATCGTCCGACAGTGGCCAGTAGTGTGTACAGAACCGGGCAGTTGAAATGATCCATCCCTGTCTTCCCCTCTAGGTTTCTGCCAGTCAGAGGTTTAGGGTTGCCCCAAGCATGGGGTTGCATCTCTGACCATCTTGTGCATTGCTGAACCTATCCTCCCTGAACGTATCAAACTCTGTTTTGAACCCAGTTATACTTTTGGCCATCACAGCATTCCATGGCAATGAGTTCCACAGGTTAATTTAATAATAAGGGGACTACTTTCAGCCAGTGTGTTAGCCAGATGCTGTTTACAGCCACTCTTTGTTCATGGGCCAGGAATCGTAGGTGCAAATCCAAATAGTCACACCTCTAATTACCTATAATATGCAACTACTCAAATTTGTACGAACGCTGCACAGGAAGTCACTTTGAAAAATCTTTGTAATGTGTACAATGAAGATAGCCCCCCCAAGAACTAAATATCTTATTTCTTTTGCAGTTTATTGGCTGGCAGGAGCTGAGGTTTGCTTCACTGTTTGTGCAGTTTTGTTCCTGCTTCCCCTCATTCTTCTTGGTTACATAAAGCAGCAAACAAAGGAGGAATAACCAAAGAGAGGAGCAACATTATGACTTTTACAGAACTACTCATTTTCCAAGGGACTTCTAAAGTGGTGGAGAGTCAGATGTCAAGAAGCGATTTAAAATGGAACACTGTGTTCTGATTTACTGGAAGGCCAATTCAAATTCCACTCACCAGCATATACACCATTGTGACAAAATTGATTTTTCTTACACACCCTAATCCTCAAGGAGATGGAAACCCAGTTAGTTATTCTCTCCAGCACTGCCTGTGAGCCAGTTTGACTAGCTTTGAGATCAGAAGTATCTGACTCAAGTGCGTGTCGTTCAGCAAGTTGTATTCCTGCTACATAAAATGGTGAGATCATGCTAGCTACATGGGCAGAAAAAGGTTGAATTCAACAAGCTGAGACTCACTCCACAACAGAATTTCATGCTTAAATTAACTACAGTTCCCAACCAGAGGCAGCATGTAAAATGCCATCATTTCTCACAGAATCATGTGCACAATATAATGGTTTTTACATATCCTTCCTGTGCCCATTTCATTTTAATCACTGGCTGCTCATTCTGGTGCTCTCACAGAACATGGATTAGCAGAGTTTTCAGGCAGCTACATAATGGGGAAATTGATCAAGACCCAGCCACCTGAATTGGTTCATGGTGAGAAAATACAACCGCTCCCCTATTGTGTGAGGGTCATATTGAGATTATTTTGCCAAACCCTTTGCACCACCCCCTTCAGTTAGTGGCATTTGTTAGGGGCAGGTCTCTTTGGTAAAATTTGTATCTAGTGCCTTAAGCTGGCGTGGTTTTTTTTTTTGGGGTTGTTTTTTGGGGGGGTTCGTATCCTGAGTTTCGTATGACCTGTGAGAGAGCCTTCTATCAATCTTGACTCTATTCCTACTGTTCTGCCAAGGGATCATAAATGAACAAGTGGCCTGTGATATACAATATAATTGGGAAAGTGTTTTAGCTACATTTTATACGCCTAATAATTTGTGTAACAGGTTTTTCAGTACTGAGCATTTATCAAATATTTGTATTTTGCACTACAAAGAGTTAATTGCAAATTGGTCTACTGCAGTTAGTGTGGTTAGTAAGATGCCCTGTAATAACATGCATATTTTCAAATTGTCCTTTTGTTAGTCAGTCATTGGCCTACCTAAAGCTCTAGCTGACTGCACTTCTGCTTAGGAATGCGGGGGGGGGGCAGGGAGGGGCAGGGTCGTCCTGTATTCAACTTCTTGTTGGCATGCAATATGCCAAGGCCTTTAATAAAGGAGAAGTGAGACCTTTTTGTTTCGATCCGTGTCGTCTTAACTCACAGGTCATAGTCTGTTGCTTAGGTGACCCCAAAAGGTTTAATTAGGGCTTCTTTCTACTGCAAAATTATACTCTTTGACCGCTATTGTAAAGAACCTGATTAACTGGCACACTGCCGCCCATAATTTGCCCTTGTCTACATGGGCTTCCGTGTTATGGTGAGCAGCATGTTAGTTAACCTGATTGTTCAAACAAGGAAAAACTTTGTAGTATAGACCAACCCCATCCATTTAGGAAAGTAACTAGAGGTTCAGAAAGTTTGTCTGCTCCCTTCTTGGTTTCTCCATGTGCCATCTCTCAATCACTGCAATCAGAGCCATCCACTAATAGGTCTTTGTCATCTCCTGTTAGTCTTGCAATGCAGAGAATTTTTTTTTAAACGCTGCTAGGGAGGGACAGTAGAGAAGCTCACTCCTAAAGGATATCAAAATAGAAAACCCTGGGAGACAGGGAAGTGCCTGGGTGGAGGTGGTGTACTTATTTGTACCTTAAAGAGTTGGGTTTATTAGGCTCTTGTTTCGCCTTACCCAACTCATGGGAAGAGTGGGATTGCTTCCAGCATGGGAGTGGGACAGTAAAGACCTAATTCCGTATCAGTGGAGTAGTTTCCACTCCCTCTTGCACATCACTGTGCAGGCTGCTTGGCTTTAACACATAAATTAGTGAAAAATATTGTTAGACAGTTGATCTCCTGGTAATTAACATAACACATGTATCTTTCATTCTGAAGGAAACTGAAGCACTTCAGACTGCATATAGAAAGATCCCTGGACTACAGCCACCAGGGAGAAGACTGCCAGCTAGTCTACTTCCTTAGCACTACACAACCATTTTTAGTAGGGGAATGTGAAGACTAGCTTGGCCAGTGGAAGCAAGGGAACATGTAGATTGGGTAACATAGCAGAACTAACATCCCTACTCAGTGTTATGGAAATTTTGACTACCATAAGTAGTGAAGGCCAGTCTTTCTTCAATAAGAGTATCTTCAGAAACACACTGACCCATAGCGGGGCACTGGTTCAATACAGTTTCAGAGGAAAGAGTGCCACCTACACTACAACCTGCGTTTTCCTCAACTGTCTCCCATCCAAGGCCTGACGGTGCTTAGCTTGACTTCTGACAAGATCATAGACTGAGGTGGTGCTATTGCAGACATAAAACTTGAACCTGTAAATGAATAATATGTGAACCCAAATCAATATAATAAAGGCCTCAAACACATATTGCACCTGCTCAAGGAACAGAACTTTGGGTACCAAAATGAATCTTTTGGTAGGTTTTACACCCTTATGTAATATAGGAAACCAAAGTAAGCCAGAGAGTTCATATAAGTGTTTTAAGACTCACTTTTATTAAAGGTCTCAATTTGAGCTTTATCATTTCCTATTATGCAGGTTTTATTCCTTCAAAACAAAAACAAAACAAAAAAAACAGCCATGGAAAAAAAGTTTCTGCAGCTTCTCGTTTGTCCCAAAATTGTATTTTGTATTCCTAGAGCCTTGGTTAAAAACAAAATTAGTGACTTTCACTAAAATAGTATTCCAGGTAAAGCCTCAAGAATGATTGATAAAGGCAGAGCATTTTCCCTCTGCCTTGGGGAAAAAAAAACAAATTCTAAAGGACATGATGATATTATGTTGCTTGTGAATCTACTCAAAGTAGAAAATGTAAATTTACAAGAGTGAAAAGCAGCTGTGCCCTCCCCATGGTATTTCAGCACACTATGTGGCATTTGTTCAGAGATTTCAAACCTCTAAACTTAATATAAAGAATGAACCAAGCAGTGATCCCCTGCTTAATGAATTAGACTTCAAATTAGAATTCTTAGCTTTTTCACCTGAGCACATATTCCACCCTAGCTTTAAGGACAACAGTTTAATGAACAAGGTTAATATACTAGGTTGTTAGAGAAGGCAGAATTATGTTAACCTGGAAGTGACTAGTGATCCTCCTGTTGCTCTCTCAGCTACAGCAAATCCTCCAGAAGGACACTGACTGCCACACGAAAGCGGCTTTTTGTATTCTGTCTACATGTTCCCTCAAACTTCAGACACTGATCCCTTTTAATGCCTGTCTCCGCTGCTTACTGTTACGTGCCCCATTCAGGGTCTCTGGCCAGAACATTAGACATCACAGTCGGGTCTGGAACTTTAACACCAACCAGTTGATTATAAACAAAATCCTAGGTACTTTTCTCAAGAAATTTTTTTACCCATTAAATTAAAATGGTTTGGGCACTATTCCCTAAGAGATTCTGGAAATTAAAACTGTACAGCAGCTTTCAAAACAGAGGAAAAAACCTTACTCTTTTAAAGAAGAATTTTATTTGAGTAAAACTTAATGATACAACAAAGAAAGAAAAATACATGACTGTTTTTCCCCCCACCGTGTGTAACCATACTGTACACAGCTAGATTTCATAGTGTAATACAAAGAATTGAAAGAACAAACTACAAAATTAGAATCAAAATCATTGCATATGTGGTCAAAGATAAAAGGGAGGACTCCATTATTAACTGAAACATGTAGCAATGGCTTAGTAACGTAATTATGACCCTGGCAATAAAACACAATTTAGCAAAGTAAGATAAGTACTGTATGCTCCCTAGTATACAGAGGACATAGAAGGTTAGAATACAAGCTCAAAGCCATTAGCGCCATGCAGTCCTTACTAGACATTATTGTTTAGGTGTCACTCTTAAGCAGTGATTTGCTGTTGCATCTAATTCCACCCTACCTCTATGTATTCCAAAAGAGAAGTCAGATTTCTGGTGTGTTAATTACTGCCACTAAACCTTTTCCTCCTCACCTGACAGTGCTATTGTCATATCTTGTAATTTTGTTTTCCTTTTACCACTTGAATTTGGTCCAAGTTTTCAATGCATCTGAGGCCTAATATAGGCTTTATTTTTGCACTACAGCTGAACCTGTTCTACTCCTCAATGCTTTCATACTGCACAAATTGCAGGGGATTCACTGTCTGCTATTTTTCTCACTATAAAAAAGGTATTTTATATACTCTTATAGGATACATCCATTACTGAATTTCATTTTAGTTATAGTCATTGCATGTAAGCCAACTTTTTTCCCCCAAGGAGAAATCTTTGAATGTTTTCTGCTGTTACAAATAGAAATGTGTCATTTGAACACTGTCATTTGGAACATCTCGGTTTATAGCTGGGGTGAATTCATTAAGCTTTCTGGAAAGTTCCCGCTGGTAACAAATGAAGATGTTTTGGCTTTCAAAAAGATCATTTGAAGGTGGATCTCTGTGTGTGCTCAGTGAAGAGAGAGAATCATGATCGTAACTAGAAGAGGATGGCAAATAAAAGGTGAAAGTGATTTTCCTGACTTTGCTACATGCTAAATGCTTATGGAAAAGCTGTAGTAAATGCACCTCTAAGGACTCTGGGAGGGATTTCTGTTCCCGACTTAACTACTGCTGGCAACACAAAGCAAGAAATACGAGCTACAGTAAGTGAAAAGAAAAAGTTAATATAAAAACATATGTTAAGTGTTCAGTGTAATGTGTTTACATTTTTATTAGGGGAGGGAGTGAAGATACCAGCCTGCAAATGTGGCTTATATGTAACAGATTTGCATCTGCACCCAGGGAAGTTTTATCAAAACAATGAAATGTGCACTGAAGACCCAATCCAAAACTGTCCATGCTCTAGATCACCAATTAAAAGTGTCCCAAAAGTCTAACATACAATTGTTTTCAACCTGTATCTAAAGACCAAACTGCTATGCAAGTGATTTCTGATGGTCTCCGATTTTGGTTGGGGAAGAGGGCCGTAAGATAGATTTCACAATATTGCATTTATTAGAAAAGTTGAATGCACAGTATCAGCAGGAAACATCATCACCAGTTCAGTCCTCTTAGACATCACAAGGTTAAGTTTAAGTTCCAGCTATATCACAAAACAGAATATGGGTTAAAGGCAGCTTTTATTGTTGTTATTGGGGGGTGGGGGTGGCAGGGAGAAGACAGGAGGGGTAAGGTGAGGATAGTCTCAAAGCCTTACTATAACATGATCTGTAATCACAGATTGCAGAAGCATACAGCTCAGTTCAAGAATGTGCCCCCTCTAAAATGCAAACAAACAAGCATCCTCTCTAAAATGCAATATTTAAAAAAGAATCCACTTGTGACTGGTGAGTACAACATTGGAAAAGAGCACGTTCTGGAATGAGCAGATACTGCACTGTGAACATGGCCTGGTCAAAAATACTTGTGTTCATACATAAAGCAGTGTGGGCTTTAAATTAAAAACAGTGGTTCAATGTCTTCCACATGGAAGCCATTTAATTTTGTTTACAAATTAAGGATCAAATCTGTGGTTTGCTGCTGAGAACAGAGGTTTAGCACCTTTCTGCACGTTAATTTCCTGTTATAACCTTAAACAATCAAGCTATAACTTGAAGGGTTGGTTGGTTTATTTGTTGCATTCCTTTACATAAGACGACAAAACACTCAGTACAATCCGGTACATTCTAGTGGTTAATGAATTTAGATTTTAAAATACGACAGTGTTTCTGCAGCGCATCAGGCCTTCAGGAGTCACTCTTCTTTTTGTTCTTCTTCAGGAAGGAAGGAGTGCGGAACTTCTTTTTCTTTTTGGATGGGGATTTTCCTGGAGATTCATCACTACCTGGATCAGCTGCTGTCCCCTCCTCAGCTGTTGGTGTTGTTGCCTCTTCAGCAGGTTGGGACTGGGGCTCTTGATTTTCTGTTGCAGGTGACTCAGTCTGACTTTTGGTCAGATCTTCGCTGCACCTACCTTCCTCCTCCTCCTTTCCGAAGGTTGGGAAGCCGAGTGCTTCTGAAGGCTCATCAGGGGTGAGGTCTGGGAGGGTTTGCTTGAAAGTT